AGACGACCAGATCACAGTTTCTATCACAGCAGAATGAACGTCAATTTTGACAGCTCTCAAATTTATAAATAAACACTCTAAACATAGGAAGTTTTTAATATTCTCAGATTCACTTTCATGTCTACAGGCAATTAAGAACGTTTCATGTGGACATACACGTTTAGACCTGCTCAGAGGCCGGTATTCGGCTCCAAATCTGCAGCAAATCTCATTTAATTGAATTTAAATTTCCCAATTTGTGTGTAATAGATACAACTAATTTTATGGCTGTGTAGAGGTAACTGTATTTCACTGATGACAGGACCAATCAAGAGGAGGAGGTCACCAGCGGTTTTTGAAATCAAGGTTGTCCAACTGGCTGTGAAATATACAACATGTTACCTTAAGACGACCAGATCACAGTTTCTATCACAGCAGAATGAACGTCAATTTTGACAGCTCTCAAATTTATAAATAAACACTCTAAACATAGGAAGTTTTTAATATTCTCAGATTCACTTTCATGTCTACAGGCAATTAAGAACGTTTCATGTGGACATATACATTTAGACCTGCTCAGAGGCCGGTATTCGGCCCCAAATCTGCAGCAAATCTCATTTAATTGAATTTAAATTTCCCAATTTGTGTTTAATAGATACAACTAATTTTATGGCTGTGTAGAGGTAATTGTATTTCACTGATAACAGGACCAATCAAGAGGAAGAGGTGTTACTGCTTAGTTTTATATTATTGCATTGAATACAATATAAATATACTAGGTTAAGATACCTCTGAATTTAAGAAAATCAGAACTTCAAAATAATCTTAATTTTGAACAGAAAAGGACTTTTTCCCAAATTTGCCTGGCAGGGACACTTATTTAGAATCCGAGATGAATTCCTGCAGATTTACTTGAAGTTATTGAATTGTATAATGATCTTGCCACTGGCCAGCAGGACATCATCTTTTGTGTGTTACCCAGCCATGTTGGAATCGCTGGTAACTAGCTGACTAATGCTGCAGGGAAAGCAGGACTTTGTGTCATCACTTCCATACACTGAGCATAAACCTGTCATCAGATAAACATCACAGAGCTTTAAGTGCGAAAGAATTGGGAAAGACATGTTGAGATTACCAAATGGCATGAAATAGAAGCACTTATCTGTTACACCTACGTAGATTGTCAGTCCAGATTTAGTTTCAGGCCATTCTTGGTTCTGTAAATTGAGAAAGTTTTACATGCAGGAAAGTACTGCGAAAACTGCAAGTCAAACACACTCACAGTAATGTCATGGCTCATCAAAAATAACATTTGCAAAAGAAGCTTTGATAAGCTTAACATGGTTACGCAAAACTTAACAGACGCAGTAAAGGCTATTGTTCACTTGGAGTAATTTCATGGCGCAAAACTTTCTCTTGTAACAGCTATCTATTGTAATGTAAGGATCCTCTGATGTAAGATTTATGCCATTCTAGGTTTTCACATGAATAGTTATTGAAAGATTCTATAAAAAAAAAGTTGCAAAAGGGCTATGTTTCATTATTGATCTTCAAGATAATAACGGACAATTCATGTCATTTCAAACCTTTAAAACTGTCTTCAAATTGAAAACCAATTTTTTAACCTACATATGTGTTCTTCTCGCTCTTAAACAATACTGTTGGAGCCAATGATTACCAAAATTTGCTATTATCCTACACTCTCACTCTTTACCATTTCATATATATATATATATATCATCTGAACCCCCCAAAAAGGTTCACTGTATTTCCATAACATATTTGTTAAAAATATATGTGAGAGAAATACTCAATTTGCTAAATGGGAGTGCGGACTTGGACACGATATTGAGGAACAAGACAGGAAGAGGATCAGTTCTAGCCCATCAGGTGCACAACCATAGGTGACTAAACTACAATGGTTCCAGTTTTAAATTTTAAATCATATATTGCCAACAAACAGATGTTATACATATATTTTGGGAATTTAAAAAGTGAGCTCCATCTGGCGAGACATGGAAATTTAGATATCACAAAAAACTCAAAACCTGGTAACAATATCCATAGAAAATGTTCTTTTTGGTTGTTTATCGAAAAATAACAATCCTTTCAACGTTTATTTTGACAAAACAAATCATATTCAACTTTAGAAATAATAACTATCCACTAACATCCCAATTTATGTACAGAAGGAGCTAGCATAGTTGTATAAGTTAACAAAGTGTACTTCCATCATTAATTGTAATAGGGATTACTTTAATTACTTTGGTAAAGCTGTCATGCTTCATTTCTGTGAATAAATTGTGATGCAAAACTCTGTAAATGCTCAGTTCAGGTGCTATCATGGCCGAGTACACTTTCAATGAGGTAGCTGGGGTTTATCATGCAAGGTATTCAATCAGTTGCTAATTTGTTCTTATGTTTTGGTTTGCTAATCCTAACAATTGATATAGATGAGTTAATATGGTAATATATAAAAAAAATAATCTAGATTCTCAGTAACTAAATACTGGGTATTCACAAGATATGACCCTCAGTCAGGGCAGCATTGGCAATAACCGAATTACCATTAAAATAAAGTTGGTGAAATATAGTCTTTGATAGGCATTTAGAAGTTGGGAGAACATGAATACATGACACTTTTTTATGGATAGCAACTTCTTTTATTCTTTGTACGACGTTTCCGAACTCTGAAACATCGTACAAAGAAATAAAGAAGTTCCTATCCATAAAAAAATGTCATGTATTCCTGGTGAAATATGATTTAAATTTCAACAATATCCTTGATATTCATAAGAATGATGTGATACCATCCCTCAAGCAAGTAATGGTATATAATTGGTGACAATGATCAAATCTAAAATAGAAAAGTAGAAAACAATTGCTGTCACTTACTGTCGTGTAGGTCTCCGGCGACTATTCTGCGTTCTGTGTGGTGAGAGTGGGTAGGCTTAGCTGGCGGCAGGGATGGTCACTGTTTGATTGGCACAATGTATTAATCATCAATCGTGCCGTTGCCTGCAAGGCATACACTTACAACAGACTTGTAAATTGGTGCCTGAATCAATGGATTGTTTGTTTATGTTGATACCATTAATACAACAATCCTAGCTGAAATGATTAGTTTTGTTTTGATGTCTGTTTACACTTGAAAATTCAGATGTGATAAGAGCTTGTTGTTTTGTTTTAGTAGGTGTTTATAATCAATACCATTTTGTGGTATGTAAACTTTCCCAGCACAATATAGTCAGGATAACGAGCACACAGGTGATAAAGGCAAAGCTAAAGAAAATGTCAGCCATTCACTGATAGCAAGAATTGTTCACTAAAGCGTGTAACACTTGGGTAACAGTCGACTTCCAGAAAAACATGAAAGGGAACCACAAATTGAGATTCTATTTTCTTGCGACAAATTTCATTGTTGTTGGCAATATATTAGCAGCATGATATCCAAATGATCATGTCAAGCCACGCCGTGTTCACTCACACCTCTATTAGGTGCAAAATTGTGTGAGTGGCAGGTGCAGCTGGTAGGGCAGGGCATGATTACCTTATATATATGAACACCTGGTGCCATCACTGATTTTCAGGGATCCATCTTGTTATTTTCACCTCTATTTGGCCTGTTACTCCTTGTTTCTTTATACTTTGTATTTCCATTTCTATGCATGTACTACAGTTCATTACATTTCCTGTGGAGATGGATACTAGGAAACCACAGGCTTTTGCAATAGGCTTCAAGCTCTCACTCAGCATGCTTTTCACAACGTAATTTGAATCATGTCTGATGTATTATTAATGGCATAATTACTTTGTACCAAATCCAAAAGATCGGCTTCCCGCTGGCTTTTGAAACTGCCAGTCCTTGTGGACTGGCAACTCTAAAAATTACCAATCCCCCCAATTTTTCCCAGTCCCAACTTTCAACAAATAAAAAAACATATGAAAATTATTTGGTTTTCATACTTTCAACTTCATGTTCAGTGCAAAGATGTCATCTCTGAAGTTACTTGGTTAGATCTATACTTCATTTACACAGTCACAATTTTCTCTTTGTTTTTTATATTTTGAGACGAAGTCGCTACAAATGGATATTTAACCTAGAAATAGACAAGGGGAAACCTTGATGGTAACAGACAAGCTGATGTTATTCGAAAAATGTACTTATATGAATATCACCGATGTTTTGTTCAACAACAAAGATTTAAAACTACTTTATTTGCCGGTCCACAGAGACTGGCAGTCACATGAATTACTGGTCCAAGCCTAATTTTACTGGTAAAAAACTGGTAATTACCGGTAAAGGGGAACACTGAAGGTCCATTTGCTTTCAATCTTTTTCTCTTGTACATTATGTCTGCATTATTTCAGAATTATGGTAAAAAAGTGTGAAAAGAGTTGTATTAAAGGGTGGAGCTGCAGTCAAACTCAACACCTCCTATTATATAACAGTCATGCCATGTTTTATTTGTATGGAAACACAGTTAATCAAAATTGAAAAAAAAGGAATCATACATATTAAGGTTTCATAATGTATGTTTTACTTGGTAATGTAGTTTTTTTGCTGATAGTTTCTCTGTCTGTTGTACCCAATAGTGATGTGCTGGAGACACAAGGCAGTAGTTCATTATCATGATTTTATAAGCTTTTTATGGGACATTCTATATCAAGCCAAATTTGTAAAATATCTATGGGACATTTTGGATGATAATCAGTCAGAGCCCACAAAATTGACCTAATCTGAAAGCCCAGGAACAGGAAGTTAGCTATTCCTTTGAAAGAGGCAAATGGCATTGGTACATTTTCATGATTTCATCAAATTTTGATAGAACATTCTTCAATATCCTTACCAAATTTGAAAAATGATGAGAACTATTTTAGTGACAGTCAGTCAGTCAGTGTCCAAGGAAATGAATCGATCTGAAAGGTGCATTATGTCCTTGAATGTGGAATGTAAGAAATGCATGCATGTTTAAACATTACATTAAGTTTTAACACTGATTGTTTGCTCTGTATGACAGGCTCGCAGGATCAGCCTTGAGGATGCCATCAAGCTGTTCACCTTCTATCGGGAGTGTGACGAGTTCCAGGCCTGGATGAAGGAGAAGGTACTTCTTCGTTAGTTAGTGTAAAATGTGTACGTGGATGAACGTTTGTATTATGTTGCCTGCTACACATTTGTGGAGGTCTTCAACTCTTCCGTATTCCAATGAAATTTACAATTTTGGTAGATTAGCGATCATGTTTTATGTCACCATTGTGAAGGGTATGTATCATTCTCCACAAGCATGACTGAAGCAACACGGGAACCTCGACTATGCTCCATTGCCATTTTCATACAGGATTTGGGTAACACCAGTCAGTGTCATGGTCATCCAGGAGTTGGGTAACATCTTAACAACCAACCCTTGTGTCATTGAGGTCTCATGGTAACGCTTACTTACTTCCCACTGAATCTGACTCCACTGACACATTTCTTGGATTGGGTAAAGAAGGCAGCTTCCATGATGCTCCAGATGTAGATTAGATGGTGTGCATGTTTTGTTCCAGGAAGGAGTATTGAAGTCCAGGGAGAGCCTGGCTGACAACATGGATGCTGTCAGGAAGAAGTTTGAGGTAGGTTCAACCTGGACACTGTGCTTCTGTGTCTATGGGTATAGTGTAGCAGAGACATCCCTCTCAGAAATGTGTTCCTCTGAGGCGGTTTCCATCCCGAGAATCTCGAGGCCAGGAAGTTGCTATCAGAACTTTGTTCATTCTACAAGATCCCTGTCAGCACAAAATGTTTAAGAGAATTTAGTTCATCCAGTGCCCAAGATGGCAGAATAGATGATAGAAACCTTTATGTGTAGGATAAGGCACGTCACACTCACTGGGCTACAGATACAAAGGTTGATCGATCCTCGGGAATATAAAGAAAACATTTGTCATTTGATTTTACATTTCATTACATGTTACAGTCTGAACGGAAGTTGTATTAATAAAATCCTGGGATAGCATAACCCATTATGTAGCAAATATGCCTGGAATATCCTATACAAATCCTGGGGATATTATATAAGTTCTTGGGATCATTACAACATCCTTGTTTATGAGATTTAACCCGTATGGAGAACAATAAGATGACGGCACTGAAGGTTTATACTGATATGTTAAGGTCTTGATGAAAGTATCTGCTAAACTGTTTATCCATGTTTGTGTCTAGAACTTGCTGACAAGTCTGGCCGCCAACAAGGGCCGTCTGGACAACATCAATGTCCTGGCAGGAGACATTATCAAGTCTGGCAGCAGTCAGTCCGATCAAGTCAAACGTCGCCAGAAGGAGATAAATGACAGGTAAACCACACCTGTCTCGTCCTCTCTCATTTGAAACTGTTTAAGAAACCTGTAGGTTGCACTTTCAATGTCAAACAAGTCATTTTCTTCTTGAGGTACTAGTATCTGCATCAAACCTTCACACTGAAATAATAAAGAAGTTGGTATGCATAAGTCAGTCCTGACTTCATTTGGTATAAATGTATTCATGAGTTTGTTCTTATGGCTTAAAGTGCCAGGGAATATTTCCATGGTTAACTTGATCCAGGTATTTATCCAGGATTCTAGATAAGTGCCCCTGGCAGTCAAATTGGGGAAAAAACATTATTTTGTTCTAACTTGTGATTTTTTTAATTAAAGTTCTTTCTTTAATGCAGAAATATTTTAACATTGTATTTTGAGATTGCATTCCATGCAATAATATAAATATAAGCATTAAAACCTCTTCCTGTTTTTATTGGCCTTCTTATCAGTGAAATGCAGGTTACCTTTACAAAGCCATAAAAATTAGTTATTTGTCAGTTGGGAATTTTTTATTCCAATTTGGGAATTTTTAATCACTTTTTGCAGATTTGGAGCAAATTATCGATGTGTGAGCAGGTCTAAATAAATCTCTGTGACTAGATAAATAAAATTGATTTGATATTGTGATTAATATTCCACCTATTTTGTGTTGCAGTTGGGCTCACCTTAACAAGCTGAAGCTGGACAAGGAACGCTCACTGGAGGGGGCCTCAAGGTAATGTTGAGACATATCATTAGGGTAACATTTGTTCAGTGGCAACTGTCCAAGCACAGGTGATCTGGGCCTCTGTCCCATGGGATGAGAGGGTCTTGTAGCACTGGGGGCACTAGTGATGTACAGTCAAGTTAATGGCCATGTTAAGAAGGGACGGTTTAAATTTGTGTACAAAAGAGACTTGTTTCATGTACAGAAGGGACTGTTTCATGCACAAAAGGGATGGTTTGGTGGGAAGCTGTGTTGGCTTCCAGACACATTCATAAAGGAAATATTAAGTCAAAACATGTTTATTTAAACTTTGAATTTTTTTTACTTGAACCTACTCCTATTATCCTCTTGTTCTTTTTTAAAATAAACCCACGTTCTGTTGAAATAATAGCAAAGATATGTTTTATTATTTGTATTCCTACCTCATGTTTTGGGTCAACTTTTAACCCCAATTTCACCAAAGAGAACCCACAGCCAACTTGCATATGTTTCTTTGTGTGCTTTTAGCATTGAACTGTTCAAGTCAACATGTGATGAGCTGTCCGAGTGGATCAAAGACAAGAACAATGCTCTGATGACAGACGACGTTGGCAAGGATCTCAAGGGAATCGGGGCGCTTCAGCGGCGACATGCTGTGAGTGGCTATGTTTTCTGAAAAAAATAGAAATTGAAAAAGAGGAAAATGAGGAAAGATGTTTATGCTACCTATTCTGTATAGGTTCACCATTCACCAAGCGTCTATAACTTGTTTCTCTGTGTAGCTTTCCTCCAACCTAATGCTGTCACACTGTGATATCAAGGACATACTGTTCAAACCCAACCCAGTATTTGCAATGATGGTTTAACATAGCATGATGAACGAAGTGTTGTATTGGTTTCAGAACGTGGAGAGAGAGCTTGTTCCAATGGAGGAGAAGATGAAGAGGATGAACTACCTGGGAGACTCGTGAGTTTCCACTCCTGTGTTAACGAGGGAGCAGGGGACATATAGGCTGGTCTAAAGCACACCTGTGTTAACGAGGGATCAGTGGATGTGTATGGCAGTGTAAAGCACACCTGTATTAACGAGGGAGCAGTGGATGTGTATGGCAGTGTAAAGCACACCTGTATTAACGAGGGAGCCGTGGATGTGTATGGCAGTGTAAAGCACACCTGTGTTAACGAGGGAGCAGTGGATGTGTATGGCAGTGTAAAGCACACAGGTGTTAATGAGGGGCTAATAAGCTGGTTCACGGGTCTCAATGCACATAATCAACTTGTGCAAGCTAGGAGCCAGTATATTATAAACGCTCTGCTTGTTTATTTAACATGTTATCAGCGTAGTTAAGCTGGCCTCTCTATATTGACCACACACTGATAGATCCAGGAACTAGTTTAGCTGTAATGATTAATTCATGTGGAAAACAGTGATGTACATGCTGATATCAGTAATGATGAATCTTTAATATGTCAGAAATACTTAACAGCGGCCTCAGGTTACCAGTAATGCTCATGATGGATTGATAGTTGTACAACAGTGATGACTAAATATGATATAATTTCTGCATTGTCAAGTATGAAGTGCATTTTATTTCCATGCATTTATCACATCCATATTGATCCTAATGGAACGGAGATATAATTTTGAAAATCAATTTTGTCTGCAATGACTTAAAACCAATAGTTTGCCAGTAATGACCACAGTTATAACAATATTTTATTTTTTCATCTTATCTCATCAGATAATGACTTAAGAAGTGTACAACTTGTATTTGCATTTTGAAAATTTGAAAAATCTATTTCATCAGGGCGAATTCCAGGTTATTCAGTACAGTGAATTTTTTTTCAAGATTATATCTTAGTACCAAAATTAAGCATGGAGAGTGAGGGAACTTTCTGAAAAATGTGCACATAAACTCCTGCAATATTATGATTGATGAATGTATTATAAGTCAAAAGTATCTGTATGAATCTGATCCATATTATGCTGCAGAGAAGTATTATGTCAGACACTGTATATGTGAAAATGAAGAGATTCCGTGGCATTTGATTAGCTAACCAAGCAGTGTTTTTGCATTAGTATTTCCAGAAACCTAAATCTGGTAGGCCACGCTCACTTAATGAGTAAATGAGCAATCTGTGAAGTTATTTATTTTGGTGTATTGATTTAAAAGAACACCGGTTTTTACGACAGAAATTTGTTTGTAACAATCCTTGGTGTAGTTTTTCATAGAAGGTTTGTGCTTCGTCAAACAAAAATTATATCATTCTCAGCCATCGTATAGCCCCAATAGTCACCCCTATTTAAGTAGCAGACTGACATGAGACTGCTGTTTTTATGTTACTGAATATGTCATATGAAGAGAGGGACAATGTTCCCTTTTGTTATTACCAATGAATTGGAACCTTTACGGAATGCTGTGGCCATTGTGTAATGACTGCATGTTTTCAGTGTGAAGTCCTCCTACCCTGACGAGAGTGGCTATGTGGACCAGCGCCAGAGAGAGCTGGAGAAACTCTGGAAGGGGCTCAAGGTAAGCTAAACATTACTGTTCATGATGGTCTTGTTTCTTAGAGCTTTAGTTACAGTTGGAGGACTCATGATTCTGCAAATTGTGGGTCTTGGCTTGAAAGTAATTTACTTTAAAAGTCCTCATTACAGTGAATATATGCACAATATTGTTATCAAGGATGCTTGTTAGAAATCTAAAGCTCAAAATTAAATTTCATTCATGCTTTTGATGTTTATGGTATTTGTGATGTAAATGTTTCATGTTTACTTCGACATGGTTCTGTTAGATTGTTCCGGTGTTCTGTTATGTGTTCCGGTGTTCTGCTATGTATTCCGGTGTTCCAGAACAAGGCAGACAAGAGGAAGGGCCAGCTCAGCGAGGCTCAGAACCAGCAGAAGTTTGGGGAGGATGCCAAAGATATTGTGAGTTCTACCACTGTCACTCTCCTTCAAGCTAGTTCTACCACTGCAGGGGTGGAAATTTGCCATTTCCTGACTCCCGGGGCAAGTAGAAATACGAGGTCGGGCAACAAAATCACTTACTTTAACTTGTCCGGAGGCAAGTAATATTGGAAATTACTATCACTGTCTACATGTCTAACTACTGGTAAAATGGTACAATAAATTAGCTGAGAGAAATTTCGTAATCACGCTTTCGCGAAACACTGACACTATTAAAGAACACACGAGACTTAGAGTTACATCCCTTTTCTATTATCGTTTTAATATTCAATCGGAACAGTATGAAACAACTTTCTACACTCGGTTTGAATGCTTATCTCGCATTGCGGCCTAGAGGGATCTGATAATTGATACACGATCAATACTGCCTAGAGGGGTCTCGTAATCGAAACACGTCGTGGCCTGTGACTGTCTCACGACCTGGTTATGGCGACACACCAGCAGGCATCGATTAAAAGTTTTTTTGGTGGGGAAAGTGAAAAAAATCCAAATAAATCTGAAAATGCCGATGATAGCGAATCATGTAAAAGAAAACGACCAAATGAGGACACATGTTATAAGAACAAGAAGTATGATGCCGAAAAACGGGACAGAAAATTCATTCAGAGTTGGTGCGATGAGTTTCCATGGGTAGTGTATGACGAAGAACAAAATGTCATGAAGTGCAGAATTTGTTGTCAGTATCCAACTGTAACATCCAGAAATAAGAAACATGTTTTTGTTGACGGTTGTACACAATTTCGAAAAAACATTATTTGACAAGTCATGAGGTTTCCGATGTTTATTTAGAATTTACCCGAGTCCTTATGTAGATATAACAGTTCCGGTGTAGTGTAATTTTGTTCAACGGTAAATAAACACATATTGATGATTTGAAGTTTTATTTTGAAATTGGGGCGGTCGGGTAGCCTAATGGTTAAAGCGTTCGCTTGTCACGCCGAAGACCCTGGTTCGATTCCCGACATGGGTACAATGTGTGAAGCCCATTTCTGGTGTCCCCCGTCGTGATATTGCTGGAATATTGCTAAAAGCGGCGTAAAACCATACTCACTCACTCACTCACTATTTTGAAATTATTTGGGCAAGTGAAAATGAAATCAGCTCAAGTGAAAATTGTCTTTAAACATGGCAAGTGAAGTTTTTTTTAAAATTTCCACTGTCCTGCACTGTCACTCTCCATCAAGCTAGTTCTACCACTGCCACTATCCATCAAGCTAGTCCATCAAGCTAGTTCTACCACTGTCACTTGCCATCAAGTTAGTTCTACCACTATCTATCAAGATAGTCCATCAAGCTAATTCTACCACTGTCACTCTCCATCACGCTAGTTCTACCACTGTCACTCTCCATCAAGCTAGTTCTACCACTGTCACTCTCCATCAAGCTAGTTCTACCACTGTCACTCTCCATCAAGCTAGTTCTACCACTGTCACTCTCCATCAAGCTCATTCTACCGCTGTCACTCTCCATCAAGCTAGTTCTACCGCTGTCACTCTCCATCAAGCTCATTCTACCGCTGTCACTCTCCATCAAGCTAGTTCTACCACTGTCACTCTACATCAAGCTAGTTCTACTGCTGTCACTCTTCTTCAAGCTAGTTCAGGGGCGGTTGGGTAGCCTAGTGGTTAAAGCGTTCGCTCGTCACGCAGACAACACAGGTTCGATTCCCGACATGGGTACAATGTGTGAAGCCCATTTCCGGTGTCCTCTGCCGTGATATTGCTGGAATATTGCTAAAAGCGGCGTAAAACCATACTAACCCACTCACTAAAGCTAGTTCTACCACTGTCACTCTCCTTCAAGCTCGTTCTACCACTGTCACTCTCCATCAAGCTTGTTCTACCACTGTCACTCTCCATCAAGCTTGTTCTACCACTGTCACTCTCCATCAAGCTCGTTCTACCACTGTCACTCTCAATCAAGCTTGTTCTACCACTGTAACTCTCCATCAAGCTAGTTCCTTTGTCTCTCACACACACGCACACACACGCACGCACACGCACACACACACACACACACACACACACACACACACACACACACCAGGCTTCATGCAAGTATTGTGATGCAGCTGTCCTGGGCTGGATCGATGCGAGCCCGCCTTGCCAGTGCCGAAATGCCCCATGATATCCAGAGTGCTGAGCGCATGCTGAAGGAACACGAAGATATTGGTGATGACATCAAGGCCCACAAAGACAAGTAAGTATGACAACTTCCTGTCTGCATAAGGGCTGTGACGTATGATCGAGTACTCCAGCGCGGTTGGGTTTAGATGGAAAGGTCACCGATCCACAAAACGATCGTTGCGCTCCGTGTGTTGTAACTGTATTGTGTAATATTGTCTTACGACTATTGTAAAGCTATGAACGCTTTGGGGATGCCCCTGGAGACTCACAACATCCTCAACGAGGGGATATAACTCCCATCTTCACTTCTCTACCAGGCCTGTTGCAGATATGGAACAGAAACGGTACATTGTCTGGACACATGTCAACTCAGATGATACTGAGAGAAAATGAGAAAATATTGATGGCGTGGCTTATTACCATTGAAATTGGATACTCAAGTCTTTCTGAAAGAAAACTTTCAGATTGTTTGCTGGAATTTTTCATTTTCTGTCATTTTCAGGAGATCGTATTGCTGTTAGCTAAGATTCCAGGATTGAAAGAATTTTTTCTTGACTCTGGCTTCATACTAGTTGCTGAATGCCATGAAATATTATGTCCTTTAGGAACATTTGGCCCATAGGTCTAAATGACTGTACAAAATTGATTTCCTTGGAAGCCAGGATCTTGTGGTTAATATCGCTGGTTCTCTTTGGTTTATCGGCAGGTATTGCTCAGGTGGTAAACATCTGTGAGATGTATTAATTTTGATTAAAATTAAAGACAGGACGTGTACGCAATCCACTCCTACAGCCCCATGTTACTCGCTATGGCAATATTGGCTGTGTTTATAAGATTCCTTTAGAAACACATTCTTCATTTCAAAGAGAACATTAGAAACAAATCTTAATACTGACCTGCATTGTGCTATGTCTAGGTTTGCCAAGTTGAGGGCTTTGGGCGCTGAAGTCCTCGCCAAGGACCCCAATGCCCAGGACGTGAAGGATCGGTTAAAGCGTCTGGATGATGAGGAGCGGGCAATTGATGAGCTGTACCGACAACGCCAGAAACAGCTTCAGGATGCCTACAATCTTCAGGTGTTCAACAAGGAGGCGGACACCATCGATGCCACCACCAGCGGTCATGAGGCCTTCCTTGATTATAATGACAAAGGGGTAGGGAGACCTTACCACTGACATTCAAGATGAAATTACTCTAGCTAGGAATTAAGTGCAACCAAGTGTATGCATGTCTTGTTTTATAAGTATCATGATACAGTATTGATGTAGTTATTCTTTTAATAAAATATATGTGAGTTGTGAAATAATTCAATATTAGTGCTTAAATCTATTCAATTATTCTGTTTTCACCATGGAGAGTTATATACATATATATTTACTGGCACATAATCAAAACGCATAATCATCATGTTTTCAAGCATCGGACATGATGTGTTTTTGTTCTCAAGTACTTGAAACACATAGAATGAGATTCGAAGCCGAACGATGACATTGTTGTGTTTGATTATATCATGCCTTAATACACAGGCAATTCAATTTGCCAAATAATAAATAAAATCAAAGATGCATTTGACAAAGTGTGTCACCTTACTGTTTAAGGACAATTGCTAATGTCCAGGGCCCAGTTCCACTAGGCGATCTTAGCACAATGACAGTTATAAGTTCATGTTAAAGTATAGAAGTTAGGATAATTTTTGCTCTACGATAGCCTTGTGGAACAGACGCTTTGTACTGGATATTCTGACTTATGTTATGTTCTGTCTACTCAGAGCACCATTGCTGATGTGGAATCCCTGCTGCGGAGACATGATGACTTTGAAGGCAAAGTCCAAGCTCAAGATGAGAAAGTGAAGGGCCTGAAGGACCTTGCTGATAACCTCATCCAGGACCAACACCCGGACCGAGACCAGTGAGTTGTGTCCCCTTAGTTCCAGCCATACTTGAGAGTTGTCTGTTGTTCTTTGTCACTGGGAAAGAAAATCTATTTTGGTTGTAGTAAGTGTAATCAATTTGGTGGGCATTTGATGTGAATTTATATTTCATCACAGCATCAACAAGCGATGTAACCAGGTGCTCCAGCGAAGAAACAAGGTCAAGGGCAAAGCTGCTGATCGTCGCAAGGCTTTGTTGGAGGCCCAAAAGTTCCAAGAGTTCAAACGTGATGGAAAGGAGGTGAGCTCTTACGCTATCAAGTTGCAAACAACGAATAATCTAAATAAGGAAGATAAATTCTTTTATCTCTGTGGACTTTGTATATGACAATATATCTGTTACAGCTGTCTGACTGGATGAAGGAGAAGTATAAGACAGCCACAGATGACTCCTACAAAGATCTGTCCAATCTCATGGCAAAGCTGCAGAAGCACCAGGCGTTTGAGGCCGAGTTGAAGTCCAACAATGACAGACTTCAAGCTTTAAATCAGGTCAGCTCACAGTGTTGAGGTTACAGATGTACTTCCTTGAGTGACGATCTCAGTGATGAGTGAACCCTGTTAAAATTTCGTCTAATAATCTTAAAAAATAAAGTGCTGTGTTTTTTTTAAAAGAAATGGAAGCTTTTTGTTTCATAATTAACCTCAAAATCAACAGTTTTTGCTTGTTTAATATTACCACCCTGTCTGCGGCATTTTGACTGACAAGATCAATAAAACAAGAAATTAACTTTGCCTTGCGTACTTGAAAACACTGTGAGAGGAGCCTTATAGCCTTAGCACCAGAGTTTGATGATCGGAGTCGTGTTTCCAGGACGGAAAGAAGATGGTTGGCGATGGTCACTCTGCTGCTCCAGAGATCAAGGAAATCTCGGAGAAGCTGAACCGGGAGTGGGCAGACTTGAATGAGAAAGCAGCAGACAAGGGGAGGAAACTCCGTGAAGCAACTCAGCAGCAGACACTCAACAGAGCTCTGGAGGATGCACAGGTAGGACAGTTGGAACATGTTGTTTTGTTTGTTGATTCCTGAGTCCCTGTTACAGATAAGTGCCCGGACCCAAGTAAGGTGAAATATTAAGACAATTTAGGAAACACAAGCAAGGTTATTGAATGAGTATCAGCAGCCATTGTTATGCACTTTGATATTAATAGCAAGGTTGATATTAGAGGCGTGGATATTATGGACTGAGATTTTGTTTTTCTTTCTAAATTGGCCATTGACATAGACACTGATTCACACTAACATCCACTCACTTTCTGTACTAAACCATAAAAAGGATGCAATTAGAAGAGTACTTTATGTAAGCAAGAACAATGTACATATCAAATCAGAACATTTTTTATGGAAATGTTTTAATGTTGCAAGACAACTGAACATTCTGAGATGTATGATGTCACAATGTGCGTTTCCCTTTACAGGCTAAGCTTGATGAAATGGAAAAGTCTGTTGCTAACCCTGATGTTGGCTCGGATTTGAGAGGCGTCAAGAATCTGCTCATGAAACATCAGGTTTGTTATTGCTTATCTGTTGTTGATAATAAAAAAATATGGATATGTGAATCCTTAACTTATAGTTTAATTTCACAGAATCGGATCACACTGTAAGGTTAATTTGGAAATATGTTGTGCTACATTTCAGAACCTTGAGACGGACTTGTCAACTCTTTCCGACACAATCCAAACAATTGTCGCTCAGGGCAAGGAAATGGCTGACAAAGGTCACTATAACTCAGCTGACATTATCCGAGCTGTCGACGCCTTCAACAAAAGGTTTGTAGGAGCTAGTCAAGTTGCTTACAATCAAATATACATACTGCAGAAAATATTGTTTTGTTTGTTTGCCTAGTCGTCTAAGGTGCCACAATTCACAATTTAGAGTTGCACCCCTTTAGCACGCGGACCCGTGATGATCCGGGGTAGAATAGGTCTTCAGCAACCCATGCTTGCCATAAAAGGCGACTATGCTTGTTGTAAGAGGTGACTAACAGGATCGGGTGGTCAGGCTCGCTGACTTGGTTGATGCATGTCATCGTATCCCAATTGCGTGGATCGATGCTCATGATGTCAATCACTGGATGGTCTGGTCCAGACTCGATTATTTACAGACCACCGTCAGATAGGTGGAATATTGCTGAGTGCGGCGTAAAACCACAAACAAAGAAAACAACTTAGCATGCCAGGAACCTATGATCATGGGATCAAATCCTACAGTCACCCTGACTATCTTTCTTTGACATCATCATACCCTTGCTCCTCGATGACCTGTACCACTTTGGGTTTTCCCCCCACATCATGCTCAATGAATACTGCAATACTGTTAAAAGCAGAGTTAAATGAAACTGCCTTCCTCGCTCAGGTTCAAGAAGCTGGAGCCAGTAGTGGCAGCTCGCAAGCAGAAGCTGCAGGAGTCGCTACAGCTGCATCAGTTTGTGTTTGACGTGGACAATGAGCTGCAGTGGATCAAGGAGCACCTGCCCGCGGCGGCATCACAGGACATGGGCAAGAACCTCATCGATGCCCAGAAACTCCACAAGAAACACCAGGTGGGAGAACAACTGGGATGCCGTTTGGACTCAGGCTTAAATGTGGTGCAGACTTCCTAGTTTAGTTTTCGATATTAGTCATGAGTAATATTGTAGTTACCAGTTGGACGGTGTGGTAGCTAATCAAAAAACCAGGTTTCATCATTGCATGGCTTTGATGTGTTGAGACCACTTTTGGTGTCCTAAAGTGGCATAAAATATTATTAATTTACTGTTATTAACAAAACTGTAAATTGCGATCAATGTATGCAAAACCATTTGTCTTATTAATCTGTAATATATTATTTTCAAAAAATTTAAATTACTCAAGAAAGGATTTTCCTGTATTAAGTGGAAATAATTAATGTGATCATTCTTGTCAGGATCTGGACCGTGAGATTCTGGGGCACCAGCCCAACATCGACAAAGTAATGAGCACCGGAGACAAACTGATCAATGATAAGCACTTCGCCTCAAAGCCCATCAAAGACAAGAGTCAGGAACTACAGGTGTCCTGGGACGACCTCCTCAAGAAGTCCAAGAACAAGAAAAAGAACCTTGATATCTCACTGCAAACCCAAAAGGTCAGACTCCCTGGCCACAATTGATTGCATGAGTCCTTGGTCATTCTTGATTGACTCCCTAGCTGCCCTTGATTGACTCCTTGGTCATCCTTGAATGACTCCCTAGCTTCCCTTTATTGACTCCCTGGCAACCCTTGGTTGACTCCCCAACTGCCCTTGATTGACACCCTCAAACCCTTGATTGACTCCCGGGTCATCCTTGATTGACTCCCCAGCTGCCCTTGATTGACTCCCTATCCACCCTTGATTGACTCCCTGGTCATCCTTGATTGAGTCTCTGGCTGCCCTTGATTGACTCCCTGGTCATCCTTGATTGACTCCCCAGCTGCCCTTGATTGACTCCCTATCCACCCTTGATTGACTCCCTGGTCATCCTTGATTGAGTCTCTGGCTGCCCTTGATTGACTCCCTGGTCATCCTTGATTGACTCCCTGGCAACCCTTGGTTGACTCCCTGGCTGCCCTTGATTGACTCCCGACCACCCTTGATTGACTCCCTGACCAACCTTGATAGACTCCCTGACCCACCTTGATTGATTCCCTAAGAGCTGACAAACTAGTGACCTAGTGATGTATAAAAACCAGGCAAATGTTTCTTACTGTGTTGATGACTGTTGTGTTTCAGTATCTGTCTGAGGTGGCGGAGGTCGAGGCCTGGATCAACGAGAGGATGCACCTCGCCTCCAACACTGACTACGGCAGGGATGAGAATGCAGCAGACAAGATGCTGGCCAAAAATAAGGTACATGCAAGCAGGTTGAGAATCGAGAGTGATGATGTCAAGAAATAAGACCTTAAAGTTCCATTTCCCAAATATGTATTTGGTCAAAACCATAAATGTGACTGATAGCATTTGTTCCAGTGAGTATGCTGACATTGCAGGTTGCCAGCATTTGTTTCATACATCAAACTCTCGTTAACGCTTTCAAAGTCTTTGTCTAAAATATGTGTGTATCCCAAAAGTAGGTATTAAGACATGTAGATAACAGGTATCTTATGTTTGTTATGTATGTGTGTTGCAGGTTTTAGAAACTGACATTCAGACATACTCAGGAATTGTTACCAGCCTTGGCAAGGAGTCCTCTCGGCTTTTCAAGCTGGGATCAGCAGATCCATCTCTACTGAAGAAGACTCAGGTAAACTGATCATCTCACTCCCAAACTGACCGCCTCAGTCCGAGCCTCTGACATCAGGTTATGACCAGGTTTCTTGGGTTAAATTGGACAGAGCCTGTGCCAGGAGAGCGGAAGGTTGTGGCTTGATTCCCACGCCTTGTGTTACCAAAAGGCATTAAAGGATGGTATTTGTTACCCTGCCTCGTGCTCAGCATTAAGGAGAGAAAACAAGGACTGGTCATCTCAGAGTCAGTATAACGTTCTGTATAAGGGTATCCATGGAAAGCTGTGCCATAGTATCTCAGTGGGCTAGCTGTATAAATATGGCATGAGTCCCGATGTCCTTGTCAGTGGATACCCTGATCCCAATTCTTCGTCACATGGCCCAATGATGATGTGGAGGATAGAAGCTGAGTGTCATACTCTGTGTTCCCACACCTTGTATTCTCACACCTGCAGCACATTGACACAAGGGCAGATAACCCAGGAGACTGGAGTCCTGAATTCTTTGAGGTTTTCTATGGGAACTCATCAATTTATGATTTTTAACATCAGTGTCATGAGTTTCATTTTTATTATCCTATGGTGGATAGACAAGAATGTTAAGATATCAAGGAATGTTTATCAATCTTACCTATTTCCCCCAGCTCAAAGAACTTTCAAATAATGAGCTTCAATGAGAGAGTAATTCCACAGCGACAGTTAAGTATTATTTCTGACTGTTGCAGGACAACCTGCAGGACAACCTCAACAAGCTGCGTCGACTGGCAGCAGAGAGGACGCGCAACCTGGAGCACTCCAAGAGTCTCCACGCCTACATGCGAGAGAGTGAGGAGTTCGAGGAATGGATCGGCGAGCAGATGCAGACCGCATCTTCCGAGGAATATGGCCAAGATTATGAACACCTTCAGGTGATTTAACTTGTGTTATTAAATGTAATGATTAAATAATATTTTGTAACATCAGCTGTGAAAATATTTCAAGTCTTGAATCATACTTGGTTGATTTGAAAATGAAATGCACCCCTAACAATATGTACTATCTGGTAAATTACTTACAGAAATGGCTAATGTTAGAACTTTTGATTATTTATTTTAATGGTGTAGGTTATCAACTTTACATTTAGTTAACTCTGTCTTCTTTCCACAGATCTTGAAAAGTAAGTTTGATGAGTTTAAGCGTAAGGTGGAGGCTGGTTCGGAGAGATTCAACCGGTGTGAGCGCCTTGCCAAGTGGCTGTTGGACGACAAGGGACCTCACATGGTGCAGGTGCAACAGAGGCAGGAGCACCTGCGTGACGCCTGGAACACCCTGCTGGAGCAGATTGAGTCCCGCGACTCCAAGCTACAGGGGGCAGAGGACATCCATCGATTCAACCGAGACGTGGAGGAGGCCTTGTCCAGGATACAGGTAAGGGAACGAAGGGAGAGGGGCACACACAAACAATGACCAGTTACACGACTTTAAGATTCTAAAAATGTATGAATACTTTAGTGCAATAACGATCATATCTAAAGACCTATCAGAATACAGTCATTTGGCCTGTTGTCTGGTGCCGAAATTATCTTTGCAGAGTTGTGTCCCTTAGCAATACCAGGATCCACTGTTATTTCGTACTCCAGGTTTGCCTTGTTTGGATTTTGATCCTTGTTTCACACCTGTATGTCTACTTCTGGTTTTCACCAACACCTTATTATAAAACTAATCTCCATGGTGATTTTCTTGTAATGATGTGTTGAATAAAACCCCACTCGACAACTGTTTGAATGAGAAGTGCATGTCAGATATTTGAATGGTTTATTATGTTGCAGGAAAAGGAGTCCAGCATCCCGGATGATCTTGGCCGTGACTACTACACCACCCAGAAGTACCTCAAGAAACATGAGGCTTTCGAGAATGAACTGGTTGCCCTTGAAGCTCAGGTAAACATTTTAGTAGTGTCTTGCAACATGCATTATGTTGACAATATGCAACAAGCTTTTCAACACAAACCTTTATTTTTACATTTAACAATTTGAATAGGGAACATGTTTATGTGTTCATAAGTTTTAGCTATATATCCAGGAGATTTTAAATGCCCTTTGATATAATCACCAGAGACTGCACTGACAGTTATACACTTCTGCTTGACTAAATATAAAACAGCTAAACAGCTGACCCAGCCTCCGCCTCCATTGTTGATGTACATCGGTCTTAGATTGGTTCTCCTGCTACAATGAACCATAAACAAATTCAAACATCATGTTTTTATGATATCTGTCATATTTCTGGGATGAGTGAAGTTGCTAAAGTTTCCTTCTTCTGTCCAACAGCTCCAGATTCTGATCGATGACTCTGGGCGCCTGCAGGAGGCGTACCCCGGGGAGAATGCCGACCAGATTGAGGACCTGCAGGCTGCGGTCGTGGACCACTGGGGTCACCTGCAGGAGAGAGCCGAGGTCCGCAAAGGGCAGCTACTAGCGGCCGCAGATCTGCACAAGTTCAACGCTTCGGTTAGTAGACCACAAAAGGGCTGCATTTAGTGTGTGTGCATTGTTGTCAAAAGTCAAACCTGGATGTTTGTGTGTCCATTCTACAACTGTCCAGAGCCTTGTTCTTTAAAGACATGTTAAAGTTATAAATGCTGTGCCTCCATTGCTGTAGTCAATACACCTGATTCATAAATTTATTGACCCGTGAACATTGACCCGGGACAGAATAGGTCTTCGGCAACCCATGCTTGCCGTAACAGACAACTTTGCTTGTCGTAAAAGGCGACTAACGGGATAGGGTGGTCAGGCTTGCTGACTTGGTTGATGCATGTTATCGTATCTCAATATGCTCATGATGTCAATTACTGGATTGTCTGGTCCAGATTTGATTATTTACTGACTATCAAATAGCTAGAATATTGCTGAGTATGGCGTTAAACAACAAACAAACAAACAAACATAAATTTTTTATGCAGGGCCTGGTGTTTATTCTATGTATTTCTTTTTACATTGTCGTTGCATGGAAGTGTCATGTGTAGAGTTCCATGTTCCCACAGACATGACGTTAGTAGTTAAACATGCTAGTAACAGTGCCTCAAGGAAAGTATTCCAGGTTGGATCACTGATGTTGCTGGTACTTCAAGCCCACCCCTGTGGTGCAGCTATAGTCTTATTCCTTGGGTGACATGATCAGAGCACTGTTCCATGTGTGGACATGTTGGTAATGCAGTATGTTGTTTGTACCCCAGGTGCGAGACCTGCTCGGCTGGGCCAAGGTGACAGAGAGAGAGATGCTGGCGGAGAAGACTGTGCGAGACGCACAAGCCGCCGATCTGCTTCGTACACGACAAGACGAGATCCGTGCCGAGATAGATGCCAGAGGAAGCACATTTGAAGCAGTCATTGGCACAGGACTGGCCATGATAGAGAATGGACACTATGCAAGTGATGAGGTCAGTACAGGAATGTCCTAGTTGGAGATGTGTGAAGCCCTTTTCTGGTGTCCCCCGCCGTGATATTCCTGGAATATTGATAAAAGCGATGTAAAACCCTACTCACTCACTCACTCACTCACTCATAGTTGGAGATACAGTATGTTGTTGGTTTACTTGCAGTAACATGTCTGAATTTTGAAGTCAGAAAGATTTTGATTTTCAACAGTAATTCTCATTCTGTATTTTTGATTTCTTGACTCATTGAATGCAACATACAATACAGATGGAGTACCTTTATCAAGCAAGTGCCTTGCTTTCATAAGTAATCTCTGTTATTAAGTGTTGGGGTAGCTTTGTGGTTAGTCTTTGCTAGTCCTGCTGGTGACCTGAGTTTGATTCCCCACACAGTGATATGGTTGCCCCCTTATGGGGGAATATTGTCAGGAATATTGCTTAATGTGGATCACTCCAGATCATTACTCTTGAATGGCAACTGAGTCGCTTGCCACAACACAACCCCTTGTTCATAATCTGCAGTAATCAACTGTCGGCATACTTCCTTGTCCTGAGCTATTTCTGTATTACGATGGGCAGATTTCGGAGAAGGTGGAAGAGGTGCAGCAGATGCAGGAGCGGCTGGTATCCACCTGGAACAAGCGGAAGGAGTACTACGACCAGCTGTACGACGTCCAGATCTTCCTTCGCGATGCCGAGCAACTCAATGTTCTCAGCTCATCCCAGGAGGTATGCAGTGGAAGGACTGTAGTCTACTTCTTTTGAGTAGTATATATGAGTTGGGATAGAATTATGTAACGGAGATGAAAAGAAAGAAGATGCTAATATTGCTGGTTCATCATATCATGCTCATTTGAAATACAAAGCCGAATTTGCTTAAGAACTACCATCACTATGAATCATGTTTTGTGTCATAGAAACAATGAACCAAGAAGTGATTCTTGTAAATGCATGACAAATCTGATGGGTCTGAGTTCTGTTTGGTGTTCTGTACGCTGCTATGTACATGACATTGCAGGTGTACCTGGCCAGCCCCGATATCGCCGAGTCTGTGGAGCAGGTAGAGGGACTCCTGAGGAAACACGAGGCGTTTGAGAAGGTGCTTGAGACCCAGGAGGAGAAGCTCTCGGCAGTCACAGCACACGGACAGCAGCTGGTGGCTGACAATCACTTTGAGGCTCAGACTGTACAGAAAACAATGGCTGCCGTCAGTCAGAGGTATGTAGTGATATATACACACATTGAGGGGAGGTGGGGTAGCTTCATGGTTAAATCGTTTGATCGTCACACCAAAGACCCTGGTTCAATCTGCATATTGAATATATGCTGGTTCAGCTTTCACTGTGCTGGATGATATGAACAGAGCTTGGATATGTTTTCTAAAATTGACAGCATTTAGTATTGGTATACAAAAATATGTTGCGTACTTTTCATGCAATATATGCGGTACTGACATTTACAGAATGACTCACCACATTTCTATATTTTTCCCAGTTTAATCATTTGATATTCATTGACTTTTGTTTTCTTGTCCAGACGAGGTCATATCAAAGATTTGAGTTCCCAGAGAAAGCACAGAATCTCAGACAACATGCTGTATGCCAACTTCAACAGGGATGTTGCGGAGGTGAGTGTCATTCTGTTCTCTGTTCAAATCAGTATCAGCACCTGGTAGTTTTACAGTGGAATAGGGATGTTTTAGATTCAAGGTGTCACTGAGTGTAAGACTCCAGACATGAATGTTGTACAATGTGTCACTGTGTAATTGCTGTAGTCTGCGATGAATGTGAAGTCGTCCAAGAATCGGTCCTACCTAGGAAGCTAATCCTGACATGAGTCTTACATATATAGAAGTAGACATCCCGTATAACTCCAGCCTCTTCCTGACTTGAGACCTTGGAGATAAACAACTTGTGTTTCAGGACCAGGGTTTGCTGCAGGACAAGAATGTATTATGTCATTTTAACCCCTAGGGGCCAAATAAATTTGTTATGAATCAACATCATTGTGGGCATCACACAGTGGTCTATTGTGTGCATGATCAGGTGTTTCTGTGAGATCCCATCAGTAGAAGTAGTGCAGGACCACAGTCTGTTGCTGTGATCACACTGGAGTAGTCTCCAAAATGGAAGATATTATAGAACTTAATGATGATCTTAATGTATGTACCAGGGCGCTTTATCTTAATGTATGTACCAGGGTGTGCTTTATCTTAATGTATGTAACAGGGCGTGCTTGATCTTAGTGTATGTACTTGGGTGTACTTGATCTTTATATATGTACCAGGGCATGCTTGATCTTAGTGTATGTACTTGGGTGTACTTGATCTTTATATATGTACCAGGGCATGCTTTATCTTAGTGTATGTGCCAGGATGTGCTTGATCTTTATATAAGTACCAGGGCGTGCTTGATCTTAGTGTATGTACCAGCGTGTGCTTTATCTTAATGTATGTACCAGGATGTGCTTGATCTTGATATATGTACCAGGGCGTGCTTGAACTTAGTGTATGTACCAGGATGTGTTTGATCTTTATATATGTACCAGGGCGTGCTTGATCTTAGTGTGTGTCCTAGGGTGTGCTTTATCTTAGTGTATGTACCAGGGTGTGCTTTATCTTAATGTATGTTCTAGGGCATGCTTGATCTTAGTGTATGTACCAGGGCGTGCTGGATCTTAATGTATGTACTAGAATGTGCTTCATATGACACCTAATTGATATTAGTAAGGACCACACTTTCAGAATTTTCGATCAGCAGAAAATGTTATATTGGTACTTGAAATTATTTAGATCTAACGACATGATATTCATGAAGACTTAGTCAGCTATGGTGCTGCAGTAGGCTGTTCAGAGTTGCCTCACTTAGGCATATGCTGGAAACCAGTGATCGTGGGTTTGAATTGCACTGATTAATTTCCTTGGTTTGAGAGCACCTGTGCTTGTGGGTTTCACCAGAATGGTAAATGTCTCAGACCTGCATCACTTTGGGCTTTCCTCCCACATGAGGGTGTGACACACCCTGATATTACTGAAAGTGGTGATAAAACCCAACTCACTCACTCCTGAAGAGAAACTATCATCTGTGTTAGACATAATGTTAATTCCTCCCATGTGTGGTAGGCTGAAGGCTGGATTGACGACAAACTGAAGGTGGCCTATGAGGACGACTTCCAGGACGTCACTGACCTGTACGACAAGATGAAGAAACTACAGAAACACCAGGCTTTCGAGGCTGAAATTGTGGCCAACACCGACAGGATCAGTAAGATCAAGGAGGTATGCAGATAAGACATATTGTAATCACTGACAACATGTGAATGGCCATTGGTCCTACTCTTACTGCTAATTGCAGTTCCTTGTGAGCACTGACCGTCTCCGTGGTCTAGTGATAGAGCGTCCGCCCGGAGAAGGTCCGAGGTTCGATCCCCAGCCGCGTCATACCGAAAGACGTTATAAGATGGTACTTGTTGTTACCCTGTCTGGCACTCGGCATTAAGGGGCTAAAACAAGGAATGGTCGGCTCGGAGTCAGTATACTGTGTCTGAGTGGGGTATTCATGTTAAACTGTGGCATGGTATCTCAGTGAGGTTACACTATAAATCGGCATCAGTCTGGACTTGTACCAGTTTAGACATCAGGTACATAAGTTCTGCTGGAAGTTTGTTTTTGAAGTTTGTTAGCTGTATTTATCCAGTGTGGTATGGTGGTTCTAACCAAATGTAGTCAAACCTATACCACATGCCCATGCTTACTGTAATATGTTTCTGCCTCCCAGCAAGGAGAGCTCCTTGTGCAGAAGCGGCACCAGGCATCAGGAGATATCCGGCAGTGTCTGCAGACACTCTCCTCCAAGTGGAATGAGCTGCTTCAGGCTTCCACCAACAGGGGCCGTGGTCTTGGCGAGGCCAAGGACATCCTGGAGTTTAATGAGCAGGTTGATAAAGTGGAAATGTGGATCAGAGAAAAGGTGAGACTAGTTATCTGCTGATTCAAATCAAATAGTTTTTCTTTCAGTTAAATAGAACACATTTGTAATTGTAAGGAAATATTATTTATTAAAGAATGAATGTACTTGTTTTGAATTTTCATCCATGTAATTTTCCTTATTGTGGATTTGGTTGGTCTTCAACACACAAGTGTACCAATACTGGTCATGGTTGACTTGAAAGTAGTGTCCTGAAATATTTTTTTAATATGAGTTATTTCAAAAACTCACGCTGAAAGATGTCAAGCTTTTCATATCTTCTTTTTTCTCTTTGTGCAAAGAGTTATGGTAGGCTCATCTTGTCTGAGCTAAAAATCAAAGGATTCACTCCAGAATACATCTTCTCTGTAGTTATTCAAGTGTTGTTGTGGACTAATCACTGAGCATCTCTTACAATACCTGTACATTCCCCCAGGAAACGCTGGTGAGTGCGGGCAACATGGGGCGTGACTACGAGCACTGCCTGGAGCTACAGAAGAAGGTCAACAACCAGGAGTCAGCTGTAAGTCAGCCATCTTCCACACATATCCAACACACTGCTTCCATATCCAACACACTGCTTCCATATCCAACACACTGCTACCATATTCAACACACTGCTTCCATATTCAACACAATGCTTCCATATTCCACATACTGCTTCCGTATTCAACACACTGCTTCCGTATTCAACACACTGCTTCCATATTCCACACACTGCTTCCACAGTCCACACACTGCTTCCGTATATAACACACTGCTTCCACAGTCCACACACTGCTTCCGTATTCAACACACTGCTTCCGTATTCAACACACTGCTTCCATATTCAACACACTGCTTCTGTATGCGACACATTGCTTCCAAATTCAAAACACTGCTTCCATATTCAAAACACTGCTTCCATATTCAACACACTGCTTCTGTATTCAACACACTGCTTCCATATTCAACTCACTGCTTCTGTATTCAACACTCTGCTCTCGTATTTAACACACTGCTTTCATATCCAACAAACTGCTTCCATATTCAACGCACTGATTCCATATTCAACACACTGATTCCATATTCAACACACTGCAAATTTCAAATCATGTTGTTTCTGTTCTTTACATAATTTTTAATTTCCAAAGAATGTGTCAGAATGCAAGTCCTGTGAAATTATTGATGTCGACACAGCTTGTTATGAATGTTAAATCTCAACTGATATGTCTGTAGTGCATAAGGTGTTTTTGCTTAGAATGTGTAGTCAATGATTTGTGCTTACCTTGAGTCAAGATCAGTGTGATGGGATGTTTGTTACAGGGCATTACTGTAGACGAGAAGCGTATCAAGGCCATCAATGACCTGGCAGACCGACTGGTGTCCCAGGGACGCACAGACACCAAGGCAGTCAAACACAGGAGGGATAATATGAACAAGAAGTGAGTGAACAGTTCAAGACGAGACTTCAAACTCTTGCTCTATTAGGCTGACAACTAAATTTACACTTACCTCCCAGAAAGGGGTCTCAGATGCTTTGTCTGGCACAAATCACTGTGAAGAGTTGCATCCCTTTGATATGCAAGGATCCACTGGTCAGGGTTAGAATCTGTCAGCACATACTCATGTGTGTGGGTTTCATAGCGATAAATGTGTCGCTCCACATTAAGATAGCACACAGTAATATATCTGAACTATTGTTTCAAGCAGGATTCAACTCACTCACTCACTCTTTTTCCCCAGATGGAAGGACCTTCAAGGAGACCTCAACAGCTACAAGGTGAAACTGGCAGCTGCCCTGGAGATGCATGCCTTCAACCGCGACGTCGACGACATCAATGAACGTATCAACGAGAAGGCTTCCCTCCTGTCAGTGGAGGATGTAGGAAAGGATCTGGCCGGCGTGCAGGCGCTACAGAGGAAGCAAGAGGACATTGAGCGAGACATGACCGCGCTGCAGAACCAGCTGGAGGTGAGCTAATGCATAGATTAGCCACCTGTAAAGATTTGGGGTAGAATCGGTCTTCAGCAACCCATGCTTGTCCCTCCCCGTGAAGATCCAGGGTACAATAGGTCTTCAGCAACCCATGTTTACCAAAAATGGCGACAGTGCTTGTCGTAAGAGGCGCCGGACGGGATCAGGTGGTGAGGCTTCCTGACTTGGTTGATGCATGTCATTGTATCCCAATTGTGTTGATCGATGCTCATGATTCAAATCACTGGATTGTCTTGTCCAGACTTGATTATTTACTGACCTCCGTTATATAGATGGAATGTTGCTGAGTGCAGCATTAAACAACAAAGAAACAAACAGCATAGGTTAGGACAGATACAGGAGAACGTGTTCATTGTGACATGATCATATGATAGTTCTGCTCGATTGGTTACAAATTGATCTCGATTCCAGAAAATTGAAACCCAGGCTGTGAAGTTGCGTAAGAAGCACCCGGACATGGTGAAGTCCATTGAGGAGAAGAAGCAGGAGGCAGAGGACAACTGGGAGAGACTGGAGGAACTGTCGGACACCAGGTCAGTGGGTCGCCAGGCTTTCAATATGATTGAGCATCAGTGATGTATATCATGATACCTTGATGATATACAAAGTTCATAGAATAAAGAATAATTCACTGTTCCATGTTGATATTAAGAAAAACTTGACAGTTTACTTATTTTCTTTCAGAAAATCAAAACTTGCAGAATCCTACAGACTACAGAAATTCCTGGCTGATGCCCGTGAACTTGTGAGTTTGAACACACTTAAAACATTTTAATCTTTCTTAGCCGAGACTTATTACACCTGGTAATGAAATTGCAGAACAAGTCACATGATGATGATGTGATGATAATGATGCCATGCCAACAAACCAGCCTCGACAGATAAGATTCCACTTAGCAAAGCCTGTCTTTATATAATACATTGTGCAGGCTCAGTAAAGGTAATCTGAAAGTAATCAGTTTGAGCTGACACATATTGACAGCTGAACTTGTTCTTTTCCCTGCACCTTATTCGTGAGTATGTTCCCAAACACAGATCCAGTGGTCCAATGAAATGATGGCAAGGATGAACTCCGGAGACCTCGCTAAAGACGTGACCGAGGCTGAGAACCTGCTCCAGATGCACCATGAAAGGAAGGTAGGATCGCCATGGATACCTGCAGTTTGTTCTAAAACACGACATTTTTGTAGATTCAGGAAAGTTGTGTAATCATGAGGGTCATTTCAGCACATGAGTTGAAAGGAGAAATCATGTTATGTCAGGCAATAAGATAGATAGAAAACTTGCCTTAAAAAATGGGATATTCAAGTTAAAATGTGACTTGGTATCTCAGTAGGCTTGCGCTTTAAAATCAGCATTAGTCCGGACTAGTACAAGCAGCTGCGCATACACACACATACATGCACGTCACTATGTAAGTACAGTAACCTTAGATGCGATGTTAAACTCCGTTTCACCTCATCTTATAATGAAACATGTTGCTTGGAGGGGAAATAAACATGAATTTGAGTAAATTGAACAGCTGGGATAAACTTGTACCCAATCCATATAACTATTTTGAGTCAAACATGTTACAAACAAAACCCTGCATGTATATCATCAAATGTTCCTTCAGGCTGAGATCGACGGCCGCAAGGCTCACTTCACGTCTATCCGTGAGAGTGGGATGAACCTGGTGAATAACCAGCACTATGCCTCGGAGGAGATCCAGAAGACCGTGAAGGAGTTGGAGAAGACCAAGCTGGCCCTGAGTGGGTCGTGGGACAAGCGGAACCATCTCCTCACCCAGTGCCACGACCTCCAGGTCTTCAAGGAAACAGCCGAGCAGGCCGACACATGGCTCGGCACCAAGGAGGCTTTTCTTGCAAATGAAGATCTTGGAGTGAGTGCTGCCATAGTTCAACTTGTTAATATATTTGACTTTCTTGATGTATAATGATTGTTGGTGAGGCATTATAAGATGACCATGAGCCAAGGGAATATTAGTAATATGTTCTTCTTGTTCATATATGTGTATGAAATTTCCCTTTAAATGTTTGACTTGTGAAGAATTGGGTTACACTAGGTCTTCAGCGATCAAAGCTTGCCGTAAAAGGAGGCTATGCTTGTCGTAAGAGGCGACAACAGGGATTTCATGGCCAGACTCGCTGACTTGATTGATGCATGTCATCAGGTCCCAGTTATATGGATCGATGCTCATGAAGTCATTGGCTTGTCTGGTTGAGTCCACTGTGACATATATGGAATATTGCTGAGTGCATTATTAAACAACAAACAAAACAAAGTAATAGGGTTCTTTGACTTCTTTGGGGTAGTATATATGGCTAGAATATTGCTGATAGCTCATGCTGTCTTGATGGCATACCTCGTCAACATGGAAACATCTACAGTGTATGTTATATTACAGCACACTCTGTACAGCGTAGAAAGTCTGCTGAAGAAACATGACGGCTTTGAGAAGACCGTGAAGGCCCAGGAGGACCGCATTGAGGACCTGAACCAGTTCGCAGCCGACCTGTGTGCCCAGCAGCACTATGCCAAGGACGAGATCAAGTCCCGCTGTCAGACTGTCCTCCGACGCAGGGACACCATGTGGGAGCTGGCTGCAGCCAGACGCAGAAAACTGGAAGACTCGCGCCACTACCAGCTCTTCCTCAGGAATCTCTATGAGGTACAGTCTATTGCGGGAATAATAATAATAATAATAATAGTCCATTTATATAGTGCTGTACTCCATGCATTAGCATACTCTAATCACTTAGACATTTATTACCTGGGTCAATGGTTCTATGTGTGCTAAACAATCAATCTCAGCTCACTGGGGAGTTTACAACCCAAGCTGCCTGTTAGGCGCTAGAAGGTTAACAACCACATTACCACCTCATCCTACCGGGTACCCATTCACTGCTGGGTGAACAGAGGCACAATTCGTACAAAGTCCCATGCTCAAGGAGACACCACATGTGCTACATGTGCTTCAGTGTGGAGCAGGACTGAAACCCTAGAAACTCTCAGGAGCCAAGCTGCCGAACACACTGCAGAAGTTGCTTAACTTCACCTGATTTGTGACCTATGCGCTGTGCATAGGACCACGTACTTAACACAATTGAACCATTTTGTTCATGATGTAGTGACATCTTTACATTTGGTGTTGCCCTTAAGATTTAACTGTAAATAGGTAGTTATATGATGGTATAAGCTTTAGAGGATTTACAGGAACATTGGCATTGCATATGAGCGTACATGGCAATTAGTGAAACTGATGCCCAAGATAATCCGGGTTCCAAGGCACTCACTAAAGAGTAAATACTTCTTCAAGACAGCTGTTTGAAAATTGATTTCAAAGTGTTACCTGGTAGTATTCCTTACATTGGGAAATAATGTCTGGGTGGCCTCCATCATGTATCAGGAGTGATTGACCGACTGTAGAACTCTTGAGAGCTGTATCATCGTCTATGCTAGTGTGCTGTGATGAGATTGTCTCCCTCCCCAGGTTTCTGGCTGGATCAACGAGAAGCTGCAGGTTGCCCTGGACGAGTCATACCGTGACCCGGTCAACCTTCAGAACAAGCTTCAAAAACACACAGCATTCGAAGCTGAACTCACATCTAACAGAAACAGAGTCGATGCTGTTCTGCATGTAAGTTGGAACTATGTGTGAGTGAGTGAGTGAGTATGGTTTTACGCCTCTTTTACGCCAAACTAAGCAATATTCCAGCTATATGGCGGCGGTCTGTAAATAATTGAGTCCGAACCAGACAATCCAGTGATTGACATCATGAGCCTAGATCTATGCAATTGAAATATGTTACATGTATCAACCAAGTCAGCGAGCCTGACCACCTGATCCTGTTAGTCGCCTCTTACAACAAGCATAGTCACCTTTTACAGCAAACATGAGTTGCTAAAAACCTATTCTAACCCTGATCTTCACGGGTTATTTTGGTAATAGCTAGCAGAGATAGAAAATTGAAGATCTTCATGCATTTGAATGTGTGTAGACAGACAGAAGAGAAGGCACATTATGAACTTATGAGCCTTTTTATTCTGATATGGAGCCATAGTTACCGTTGTAGTTATGGTGTTGACTTGTCACCCCAAAGCAGGCAAGATGTATATGTGAGACCCATTGTTTATGTTACACACAGAGACTACAGAACAAGTCAGTGTTAATTGTATTGTCCCACCTCCTTCAAGTCAGTTGTAACCTTCATAAACTGTTTGATGTACAGGAGGGCCAGGGACTGATAGATGACTCGCACTACGCCACACCAGACATCAGAAAGAGGTTGGAGGAACTGGAACTCAGCTGGCAAGCACTCATTGCTGCCAGCACAGAGAAGAAGGACCGCTTGCAGGACGCCTACCGGGTATGGATGCAGCAATCGGTTGTCATAGATACTCACAGTTTGATGAAGTTGGAGAAGGGTGAAAAAAGGGATAAATGTTTAAAATTTCAAACGGTTGTTCTTTACCTGGATATATTTCATGTGAATAGGGAATCCCAGACATAACAAATGTAATGTGGCTGAACATGATTTGTATTCTATAAATGCCAAAGTTACATGTCCATTGGTTCTGTGTTATTCAGTCATGTAGATAGTATGGAATAACATTATACTTTACCTGTCTGACAACCTACTGATGCCATTGACACCAGTTAAACCTTGATCAGGATTGGAGTTGAGATTTTTCCATCGTGCTCAGAAAATACCCTGGGTAGCAAACATGAAAAATGCTGTGTAGCCCCACAGAGGTTAAAAAGGTATTTCCAGAGACATGTTGATATGTTATTTAGAATGTTTAGCATTAGTAATGCAACATTGCACTGTGCAACTGTTAGGCTATGCTGTTCAACCGTGTGGCGGACGACCTCAACACGTGGATGGACGAGGTGGAGAACCAGCTGGAGTCTGAAGACCATGGCAAGGACCTCACATCTGTCAACGCACTGCTCAAGAAACACCAGGTAAGAGCCAAGTATCAGAACCTTTACTGGTTTTCATGGTGATCTTACTTACAAGCCTCATTTCTGAGCAGTTGTGCTGTTTTTTTATGCTGAGGCGTTGTGGTGGTGTTGCAGCAACTGGAGCAGGACATCTTGACGCACCAGGAGAAAGTGCAGGACGTGCTGGACGCTGCCCAGGTGTTCAAGGAGTCACGACATTTCCTCAACAAGGAGCTGCAAGCAAGGGCACGTGAAGTCTCTGAGAGGTCAGTGTATAGTGTTTACCTGTAGGTCATCTGAGGTCTCCCAAGAGGTCTGTGTGTAGTGGGTACCTGTAGGTCATCTGAGGTCTCCCAAGAGGTCTGTGTGTAGTGAGTACCGGTAGGTCATCTGAGGTCTCCCAAGAGGTCTGTGCATAGTGGGTACCTGTAGGTCATCTGAGGTCTCCCAAGAGGTCTGTGTGTAGTGGGTACCTGTAGGTCATCTGAGGTCTCCCAAGAGAGTGGTCTGTGTATTGTATGTGTATTGTATGTCGGGGCATGCGTGGTCTCCGAGAGGCATGTATGTCAATCATATTCATCTCAAGGATTGTTATGTAGAAGAAAATAATAAAAGGATTAAAATGTTTGCAAAAGTTGGAGAGTGGCATTTGTTAACCAGTCACTTCTCTCCTACAGGTACAACTCATTATCAGAGCCATGCCACATCCGACGAGACAATCTGGAAGAGGCACTAAGAATGTACCAGTTCTTCCGGGACGTGGAGGATGAGTTGTCATGGATACAAGAGAAACGACCAACAGCAGAGTCTACTGATCTGGGGCATTCCTTGTCGGAAGTTCAGAATCTCATGAAGAAACATCAGGTAGACCTTTAGTTGGATCTGCTTGTGACAAGTTGGGAGGTCTTTTGCCTTTGTTTCCATAAAACAAAGAAATGAAAATACTGTTTCCTGATTGGCTCATTATTGCACTGAACGGTGTGACTGATTTCGTACTATTGTCTGCTTTATACTATTTTGTGTTAATGAATTAATCAGCAGTCTGTGAAGCCATTATTGTAGACATTTTTTATTGTAAGATTTGACTTCTAAAAACCGATGTGCACACTTTGCGTAATTTCGCTACGCGAATTTACACAGTATTCACAGAATTTTCTATGTTTATACCTCCATAATATTAAACTAACTTCTTAACTAACATTTGTTTAACAGATCATATCAGATTGAATTGTGTTTGTAAAGAAAGTAAGAGGATGATTGATGAATTCCTTCAAGTAATTACATGACTTATAACTGTCTTTTCATTGCTTTTATGAAGTTAACAATTCGGGAAGTATGGTGAAAACGTTTTAGCCAACTTTGTTGTTGTTGAGAGCAAACCAGGGATAATTCCACCAGTTCACAATAAATGGTTTTGATTTCACATGTGAAATAGAGAATATGAATGATATCACAAATTGCAAGTTTCTCTCTGTGTGTTTGTGCCAGAAATGTATTTAAATGGCAGTCATCATCCACAGTGATACACTGCATGGTGTTCGGATGTTGTTCACTGATAATGTGTTGGTCACCGGATCCTTTGAAATGGCATGCCCTAGCTATGATGTATGACATATCACACAGGAAAATGCTCACTGAGAATAGCTGCAAGATTGTTGATGCATTAAGCAATAATGGTACCAGAGTTGGAAATTGGCACTACAGTCCTTGCCAAACTGCCCACTAGTTAAGGTATTATAGGGGCAAGTAGAAATTTGCCATTTTTAATGGTTTTGCTATGTGTTGTCATTATAAGGACTAGAGGACTAAAATTTTAGTTTCTGTCGCTGGATTTAATCACTCACTCACTCACTCACTCAATCACTCACTCACTCACTCACTCACGAAACAGCTTTTCTCAGCAAAATAATGAATATATAATAAGAGCTTGTGAAGGAATTATTTCGTAAATCTCATATTTATCTGATCTCAGATACAAACTGACTAATCAGCACCTAATCTAGTTCGGATGATTAGATGTAGGATGTCTCACCAAGATTACAGAATCCTTTTTATTGGTGTTTTATCATAACCATCATTTGAATCTTTAGAAAATTAATCTTTACTCAGAGGATTATGATTCCGATCTTTACTTGCTGGCACATTACTGTAGATGTTAGCTACTAAAAAAAGATGTTATGATGGTGGACTCATTGGTGTCCTGTAATCATTCAGACGAGTACTGCAAGTCGAAGGGGACACTAGGTGCAGTTTTCAGGGAAGTGGCACAAGTTGTGTTGATAACAGTACTTTAGTCTGCTGTCTACCAGTGATGTCACTGTGATTATCTTCTGTTTCCCAGACCTTGGAGTCCGAGATAGTGGCTCATGAACCTCTCATCGAGTCTGTGGCCAACGCAGCCCAGTTGATGGTTCGCAGCCGGCACTTTGCCTCCCAGGATATCCAGTCTCGTCTCGACGACTTGCATGGCCAGCTGCAGCGGCTCAAGAAGACTACTACAACCAGGAAACTCAAGTTGCAGGAAGCACTGGAGGCACAGAAGGTGAGGACTGCTTCTTGCATTGTGCAATCTGAGTGTACTAGCTCATGCAGCCGAATATTTACAGTGATCGGGAGAATCTGATCCGATGGCAGTAATATGATGTTTTTCAATCTTTCTGTTTACAGTTTTACACTGAAGTTGCTGAAGCTGAGGCGTGGATGAATGAGAAGCTGCCACAGTTGACCAGTTCTGATCTAGGCCGCGACGGAGACCAAGTTCAGGTTGGTGTGGTGTCTGTGTTCATAGCATTGTGTTAGCATCCTTCAGTATGGCTAGGGCTCCATACCTGGCTAGGCCAGGCCTGTCTAGAATAATTACCTGAATAACACTTTGAAGTTTTGTACAAAGAGTTTAGATATCCAGATGATGAGGAGACATCAGTATACAAATGTTAATGTTATTGGTTTTTTAATCATTTTATTGTAAGAATGATAATGCTTTATATACAATACATTACAGTATATATTATTCTGTAAATAATATCTTTTCAAGGCATTGATGAAGAAACTAGATGCCTTGGAGAGAGACATTGACAACTTCAGCAACAGTATTGGAGAGTTGTCTGCCCTTAGTCGCACAATCACAGAGAAGGAACACTATGATAGTGCCAACATAAAGAAGAAACAAGTGAGTAAAGTGTCCAGGTGGCACCTCAGGGCAACATGGTAACAGAGTATAAACCCACCACCACCTTATGAATGTAGTAATTTCAACTTTGAGATATTGAAAGTACTTTCTGACTATAGTATCCTACAATAACAGACTGTTAAAAAACATTGAGTCTACTAGCCCAAACTTGACTATAAACATCATTTTCTATAGATTTTGATGTAATCAGTAGACCATTACCAGCTGAGCTTACAAGACCAAACAGATATTTTCTTGACTCTGGCTTCGGACTAGTTGCTAAACCTGTTTCCAAAGCCATTAGATATATTTGCCCTTTGTAATCTGAAACACTTTCGTCTCCAGTCGGATATCGAACAGCAGCATAGCCGCCTCCAGGACCTTGTCAATCAGAGACGGGCCAAGCTCATCGACAGCAAGAAGCTGTTTGAGTTCTACCACGAGGCCAACGAGGTGTCCAGCTGGATCTCAGACAAGTGTGTGGTTGCAGCGTCTGAGGACTATGGCCAGGACCTTGAACATATCGAGGTTGGTGGGATCTTCTAAAGCAATTACATCCTTTTGGGTGGATATGCATCGTATACATTAAAGACACTAGGTATATACATGTGATGATGACCATGAATATTCTGTTTTTAAGGTATTGCAACAACGGTTTGAGGACTTTGTACATGAACTGACATCAAATGAGGAACGGATCAACTCAGTAATAGCAATGGCACAGAACATGATATCAAGCAATCATTTCGAGTCGGACAAGATCAAGGCACGGGTGGAGGAAATCCGGCAAATCTGGTCCGATCTGAAAGACCTTGCTGACGCCCGGAGGGAGGTTAGTCACCATGGGGTGTCAGATCACAAATCTTTTTCTGGCTTGTTCCAAATTCTACACCGTGAAGCCTTGATATACTGCTGCAGTAGGGTCCAAGATCCTGACCCCACCTTCTCAAAGAGCTTTATAGAGATATTCATTGCTGATGGTCAACACATTACGTAATGAGGGTTAAATACCACAGGTGTTTGTACTTGATTCATTTTGAAGAGAAAGTATGCTCTTGTTGGATTGATATATAACATTTTATTTTATGAAGATAAATTTTCTGGCACTAGCCTGCTGGCCTGTTTTGGCATGTCTAATGTTAGGGTATCCAAACTGCTGGTAGAATTTAAGTCTTGTTAGAGGTCGGGGCATCCTGCAAGTATTAAAATCGGCATAGATGTGATGTGATCCATTCATTTAGGGAGTGTATTAAGATCTTGTTGACTTAACAGTTTCACGTTTGAAATAAGACATCATTGTCATGCCCATCCTGACTCTGTATTTTGTGATGTCCCCAGGCCCTTAGTGGAGCGAAGGAGGTGCACATGTACGGTCGCGATGCTGACGACACGCTGGAGTGGATACAGGAGAAGGACACCGTGGTCAGCAGTGACGACTACGGCCATGACCTTGAGAGTGTCCAGGCTCTTCTAAGTCGCCATGATGGTCTGGAGGTGAGTCAAGAAATACAGCCCTTCTCTGATGAACCAAGAGACCAGTCTGTGTTTGTTTCTATAGTGTTCTGATTCCGGATGTGTTGGGTAGCCCTGTGGTCTTGGTGTTTGCTAACCACACCTACCTGGGGTTTCATTCCCCTAAGGGACAACGATGTGAAGCCCATATTGCTGCCATCCTGCTTGTACAGCCATGATGCAGATGTTTACTTGGTGGTGGATAAATTCTTAATCTACAAATCGGTCCCCTCCTTTCAAATATTTTTACTGATACTATAGGCATTGAAAACTGAGAGTTATGGTTGAAGAAATAGTCTAAGCAAATTGAATAGTTCACCCCAGTAGAAAGAAACATTGAGGATGCTTTTTGCCTCATCCATCGTCTGACCACAAAATCTTTATATACAGAGAGACTTGGCCGCCATTAGTGAGCAAGTGGAGACGATTACGAAGGAGGCCGAGAACCTTCTTGCGCATTACCCTGATGCACAGGAGCATGTTGCTGCCAAGCATGAGGAGATGGTTCAGGCCTGGAACTACCTGGTGGAGAAGTCGACCCTGAGGAAGGAGAAGCTGCAGCAGGCTCAACAGCTGCAGATGTACTTCAACGACTACAGGGAACTCACGTGAGTATCAGTACCTGTACTGTCAGTACCCCAGGGGAGTCTGGGGCTTGGTCGCCACTAGCCCCACTAGGCATTGCAATCTCTGACCTTACTGATACTGTATCACCAGACTGATTGGAGCATTGCTCATGATTTCATCATGTTCAAATTCTGGTTTGTCTAGTAGAGACTGTGAGAGGAATGTCGGTGAATCAATACCCCGACGCTTCAAACCAAGCATCTTTAAAAGATGGTACTTGTTACTTCCCTGTCTGGCACTATGTATTAAGGGGATAGGTCAGTATACTGTGTCTAGTAGGGTATCCATGAAGAACTACAGCATGGTATCTCAGTCGGCAAGCATTATAAAACAGCATCAGTCCGGGACTGGTCCAAGCAGCCACAGGAACACACATCACCATATAAGTTCACTACTCTTAAACATGATGTCAAACCCCATTTTAGCCCACCTCTTATCGAGACTAGATTGTTTACATGTAGCAGAATGATCTCTCTCTTGTGAAGTATGTCAAGTGTGACAAAAACATTATGGTTATGTTTAGATGTTAGTCTTGTTGAAGTGAGTTGTGTCCATTGACTGTCCGTCAGTATGAAGTTGATCAGTTTTAACCTTGTTACTCTTCACAGGGGGCTGGTGGGTTAGCCTTGTGGTTAGGGCGTTCATTATCATGCTGAAGACCCAGGTCCGATTTCCCACATGGGTACATTGTGTGAAGCCCATTTCTGGTCTCCCCTGCCGTGATATTGCTGGAATATTGGTTAGTTAAAGTGGCGTAAAACCATACTCACTCATTCACTCACTAATCTTCACAGGGCCTGGATCAGCGAGATGATGGCCATCCTCACTGCGGACGAGCTGGCACGGGACCTGCCATCCGCTGAGGCCATGGTGGCCCGCTACAAGGAGCACAAGGCCGAGGTGGACAGTCAGGAGGAAGCCTTCGTCAAGTTCGAGCAGACGGGCAAACATCTCATTGGAAAAGGACACTTCTTGTCTGATGAGGTATGTGGTTGATTGTAGTACCAAGTTGCTCTTAGAAAAGGTTACCTCTGTCCTGGTAAGCTGGTAATAATTCTGTCATGAATCGAATGGTTGATGTTTCCATGATGTTTTCAGATCCAAGAGAAGATCAATCAGTTGAAAGAATCTCATGACGGTTTGATGCGTACCCTTGAACACAGGCAGCTGTTGCATGAGCAAAACCTGGAAGCTCAGGTATGTGTCCTGTGCAACCTATGTTGTGATTTGCTTTCTATTGTAACTGCCCACCTTGCAGCATGCAGTTTTCTAAAGTAAGTGACCATTACAAGTTCTTCCTAACCTGATGAGATGGATAAAATCCAGTTCACTAAGCAGCTACTGAGAGTACTTCTTTCTAGTCGTTGTGTGTAATAAGTTCTGAATAATGTTATTCCTCCCTAAACCCCGAAGTAGATCTCAGGGGCTTGATCTTGGCAGCAGCTTTGTAATCTAGGTAGCTATTATGGAAAAAAAGCAGTTCAACAAAAAATGTAGTAGCCCGATGCTGATTGGTTGAATGTATCTGCAGCGTCTTCGCCACGAGATGGAGCAGCTGGACGCCTGGATGAACCTGCGGGAACCACTGCTGCGGGAGAAGAACTATGGTAGCTCCATACCAGCAGTGGAGGAGCTCCTGAGACGCCATGCAGACTTCGAGAAGACTGTCGACGCCCAGGAGGAGAAGTTCATGGCTCTGATGCGTGGCACTGAGGTGACGACCGTAGACTTTCCTGCACGCACCCACAACATACACAAACTTCTTGCTGCCTGGATCAGACTCTTATTATTCACAGGCTGTTGTGATAGGGCTGGCTATGGCATCAAGCAACACTCACTCTATTTTCTGCTGAAGGTCGTGTCACCAATTGTTTACGATTGATCCGGCTGATTCAGTACAAGGAATGTTAAGTAGCTCCGGCATTCTCTTAATTTGAGAAGATTAATAGAGATGTGATGTTGTGACATCAAGTAAATCAAATGCAGATATAATCCTTCTAGTTTAGGATAATATTGATTATGATGCATAGTAATTAAGAGCTGGCTTTGACTATAATTTGCCACAACTTACCTCATTGTCTGCTTACAGATTGAGAAAGCATTTGCCAAACAGAGGCTGATGGAACAGCAGCTGATGGTGGCTGATGAGGCTCGCAGAGAGAAGGACAGGCTCGATGAACTCCGCCGGAAAGAGCAGGACAGGATACTTGAGGTCAGTGGAGGTCAAGGTCTTTGGAGATTCAGGCTGAACCAGGACAGATTCATGATCTGGTCTTGATACATGAAGGGTACTGATAAGGTCAAGGCTGGGAAAGGCACTCTAAATTGGTAATCTTCAGGGAAATATTTCTGTGCCTTCTCCAAATGTATATTCAGTCAGTAAATTATTTTTAGATCCAACTTTGTAAATTTGAGAGAAATTCTGAAAGTTTAATGATTGTGAAATGTCTTTTTTTGTTTAAAATAATGCTACATGACGTCATTAGTAGCTTTATATGTAGTGGAGGGGCTTGCTTCTTTATTTTCATACAGCAAGCTTTTGGGAAAGGGAATGTCTTTTTTCCTAGTGAGAGAATATCAATGGGTTCCACTGGGGAGGGCCTTTTCAGCTTTTACAGTAGCTTATTTTACAAACCCCATTACCTAGACAACCCCTGCACACTAACTTCCCTTCTGTTAGTATCTGACGTTGAAACTCTGTAAAACGCAACCAAGGATTATGATGGTTGAGCCTATGTATTATTGGATGTAGATATTTTGTACTAACTAGGTGATGGTAGATTCTCCTAACATAGTCGGCCATTACAGCACCAGCACATGTAGAGAGTTGATGCACTCTTCCACTAATCTGCCCATTTCTGTCACTTCTTGTATAAAGTCAAGGACAGGATTAAGAGTCTAACGTGTCTTTCTCATTGTGTTGCATGTTATAAATGTGTCGCGAAAATACATAGAAGAAATTTGTTGTAATTGTTCCTATGTGAGGCATGCACTGATTAACACTGGGATGGGGTGCGCCGAGTCGCACCAGAGTTGTACTGTTCTTGTGGTTAAAGCGTTGTTCATCACGCCAGCACCATGCAGGTACACCTTGCAGTTATACTGCTGGAAAGTACAGCAAACTCGACCCACTCACTCACTCAGTAAATAAAGGACTAACCTGTCTGTTCATTAGTAGCGGGACAATACACTGATGCATCGGTGGGTCGTGATTTTTAACTTTAATCACAGCTGCATTCGAGAAAATCCTGATTCTTACCTTAAATGTTTGCTTTAATAACTATTACACCAAATATGAGTAGTGAAAATTAGTAGTGAAAACAAATATTTTCATCCATTCTAAAAATACTTGACACTGCCAGCTTAAAAAATAGTCAGTGTGCCAGTGTGGCCATCCTGTCTCTGAAAAAGATGGCTACGCACCACAGATAAGAGCACATGCAAGTATCGTGATACGTAGCGGATCGTGAACAAGGTATCATGATACGTGTAAGGTCTCACAGTTGGTGTATCGTCCCCGCCCTATTGTTCATGGATTGGGGCATGATTGGCTATGACTGTATGATGTATTGTGTAACTATGCATGTCAGTGCTTGTATGGGCAATGGTCATGCCTAAGACATGATGGTGACCCTTTCTTTTGCAGACACAGAGAGCTGTATGTTATTTTGACGTGCTAATGTTGATTGGTAGTATATGCTCGTTCCTATGTGTCTCACTAACTGCATGCCTCCCGTTTAATTCTCTCCTCTTTGGGGTGTCTATATGTTCACGTCTACAGACAGTGGGTGGTCAGGGGGAACACGTGAAAAATGATCACTCTAGAAAACAGATGGGAATGATACCTGCAGTCTCCGAAATAACTGCCTTCCCACCTGCCCTGGCTGGTAACTTTTCTGTCAGGCTGAATGATACCTGTCAAGTGGTACATAAACATGTCACTTGCTGGTTTGGTATGTATGGAGCCAGCCAAGGCAGCTCAAGTACATTTGGTGAAGCATCCAGTGGTTTAATGCTCTGTCTTCTCATGCTGAATGATTTAATTCTGAACATGGGTACAAGTCGAGATAAGGGCTGGATGATTGCTATGAATGGCATAAAATCAAATTCACTGTCCATGGCTGAAAAGTGATGCAGTTATTCTGTGAGGCTTGTGATAAGTAAGAATCATCTATGATAATACATACCAGGTTCCCTGTGGGGATTCCGGGTTAAAATTGGTCCCAAGCAACCTATGCTGGTCGTAAGAGACAACCAAATGGATCAGGTATGAGGCTCGGTAACTTGACTGATTGCGTGTCCTAGTGCCCCGTTGGTGTTGACCGTTGCATACAATATCAATCACTAGTCTGGACTAGATTATTTATAGGCCACTGCTTTAAAGCTGGAATATTGCTGAGTGCAGTAATAAACAACAAAACAAGTTTTCCACAGCATTTCTAATGGAAGCAGATGTATTTGAACTGATATGTGAGACACACGTTTGTACATTAATGTTCTAAGGCATCCATGCCTGGCTACTCAGGATGTGGTTAGAGGTATCCTAACATACGGGATTTGTTGGCCACAATGGAATATACATACATTGAACACTGACTGCATAGGAAGACCAGCTTTCACTGGAGGAGGATTAATGTAAGGGGTTGACTCTCGTACTTTTAACCAGTGGCTGATGTAGGCCCAGTTAAACGATTTTGTTGCTGGGTACTTCTAGCACCAATTCTCTCACCCAGCAGAACCTGTCCTGCATATCCAGTTACAATGTAGGTTAAGAGATGGTGGTGTTATTTCCATCTGTTGCCTATAAGTGATCGTTTTCTGTCGTGTAAAATGCTTGTTATATATTTCACAAAATATACCCATATTATTTTCTATAGTTCCGCCATGTTCTGTATCAGGGTTGTTTTCCATCATCCCATAGATGAAGTTTATTGTTATTCAATCAGTTTTTTTGCAGTATGTCAAGGGGATTAATAATCATTAATCTTTTAATTGTTAAATAATGGATATATCTATCCTAATATTTGTTAACACATGTGTACATAAGAGATGCTACCAGCTTCTGTGTAGGCATGTGATGTTTATGCAGCACATATGACACAGACATTAATAGTCAGTTTGTTCACATGGGGCAGGGGGAGGGGTTCTTCACGAGATGTTTTTTCCTTCTTGTAATTATTGTGTGCTAATTTGTGTGTGTTCATGCTCAATTGCAAAAATGATTGTTTGATAGTTCACTTTGCTTAAAGTCTCATCTTTTTTCTTGACCTCCTTTATCACAGGTGAAATTTGTTTTGTCAGTCACATGATCACTTTGTCCATGTCATGTGGTGTGATTCATTCTAGATTTGTTTCATTCTTTCATTTCAATATTTTTGGTCTTTTGCTTCTATGTGCAACTAGAGCTTGCTTTGAAATTAATTTTGTTTGTCATCTCCTGGTAATGGAGTTACCATGGAAACTAACAATACAGAGGTAAAAGTTTTGATTTAATTTTGGTGACAGAGACGACATGATTTTTTGGTATATGAAAAGAAATAACAGTAACATGGAAATGTTTAACAAGTTCTGAATTATTTTATGATGGAATAGAGGCATATATTTTGAAGAATTATGTTTGCAGGTAGGTATGTTGTGTGGAATCACCATCTATGATGTGATTAATATGCTGTTATGATGTGATGTTAGAATACAGCAACAGAACCTGAAAACTATAACTTTTGATACACATTTACTCCTGTAAATCATAACTTGGATTAATGATTGTAAAGTATTTCATAAATGTTTCTTGTGTGTTTTTTGCTTTGTTGAATGTGTGAGGTGGAGTGGTGGTTCTGTGTGTTGTGACTTGAACTGAGACAATATCTATGTCCTACTTCAGGAGCGACGACGGGAAGAAGAACAGAGACGTAATCGGGAAGTGTTGCTGCGTCGCCAGCGCGAAGATGAAGATGAAGACGATGATGGAAAGTAAGTTGACTTCACATTTGATGAGGTCTTCAGCAACCCATGCTTGCCGTAAAAGGTGACTGTGCTTGCCGTAAGAGGCGACTAATGGGATCGGGCGGTCAGGCTCGCTGACTTGGTTGAAGCATGTCATTGATCCCAATTGCTTGGCTAGATGCTCATAATATCAATCACTGGATTGTCTGATCCAGACTCGATTATTTACAGACTGCCGTCATATAGCTGGACTATCGCGGAGTGCGGCGTAAAACAACAAACCAAATCACATTTGATGATAGTTGATGTTGTTTAATGGTGCTGTCTCGACTAAGGTGTTGCAATTTACAGTGTAAAATGGCGTCCCTTATGTTTATAGGTTTGTCAGCACCATACCCATTCACGTGGGTTTCACTGAAGTGGTAAACGTCTAAGACCTGCATCACTTCAGGCTTTCCCCCCTCATTAAACTGACATGCGGTGATATTACTGGAATATTGTATAGAGCGGCTTTAAACCCAACTCACTCACTCACTCACTCACTCACTCACTCACACAGTTAAACATGAATACCTCCCCCCTCATTAAACTGACATGCAGTGATATTACTGGAATATTGTATAGAGCGGCTTTAAACCCAACTCACTCACTCACTCACTCACTCACTCACTCACTCACTCACTCACTCACACGGTTAAACATGAATACCCCACTCAGACACAGTATACTGACTCTGAACCGACCAGTCCTTGTTTTATCACCTTTATCAGCGCGCAACAGGGTAACATTATGTCACTGCCTTGTATCGAACCCCTGACCTTCTGCTCTGTGGGCGGATGCTCTACCACGAGACCACAAGAGGCGGTCCCAACTTGACCCTGTCCCGTGTATGCTGTAGATGGGGTCAAGTACTGGTTATAGTAGATGAAGTGGTAACACCAGGTACACAGCGATCTTAGTATTAAAGCATGACCTTAGTGCTACGATCGCCTTGTGAAGTGGAACTGATTATGAATGGATGAAGGCAAATATTTTCACCTACCTCTTTGTATCAAAGCATAGAGTATTAACTTGACCCCCTGATCCACTTTTGATGTGATACTTTTGTTGATAATATTTTTGCACTTGTTATAAATTTACTTTTGTATTACTAGGGACGAAAAGCTGGATAGATCAACTGTAAAGAATCTCATTGGTCGGTCTCAGAGCATCAAAAATGTGACAAAACCAGACAATGTTAAAAGAAATGATGTGCGTCGTGCTATCAGCTTCAAACAGAGAGGTGATCAACCCCTGTCTCCAGTGTCTCTACAGAAGGCAATGGAGTTTAAGCAGGGAGAGACACCCAAGTTCTCAACATCCATTGATTCAGATCATGGCAGCGACAACTTGGAACAGAAACTGAATGATGCATTGAACCGTGTCTGCCAGGATGAAGCAGATGGTGGTGACGAGGTGAGTGCACCGAGTCTGCCCATGGCTCCTCCCCCTGAGGCCATGCGGCGTAACTCGGAGCATCACTCGGAAGAGGCGGAAGGAGAGGCTCCGTCCTCACCCACATTCACCAAGAAGGAGGCCCTCACGATGTCCCCTCCTCTCAGTCCCAAGCAGAAGAGGCCTGAGCAGGTGAAGGATGAGAGGAAGTCAAAGAGAACTCCTAGTTTCAACATCCGGCGGCGGACACGAAGCTTTAAGGATAAGTACAAGCTCCCAGCTGACCTGCCCCCGGCAGAGCTGGAAGGCTACTTGGACCGAAAGCAGGAGCTGCAGAGTGGAGGGAAAAAGGCAACAATTAGGTCATGGAAAAACTTTTACACGGTGCTATTTGGACAGCTGTTGTGTTTCTTCAAGGATAAGGAAGGTAGGATTGTGTTGACAAATGTCTTAGACCATTACTTTTGGTTTCCTTCATTTTAAAGTATAATCGTGTTGAAATGTATCTTTGTAAAGCTTTGATATTGCACTCACTGACTGCCTGTGTTGGTCTCCAGCCTATAGTGAGAGCCAGGCAGCAGCTCCTCCCCTGAACATCCACAAGGCAGAGTGTGAGGTTGCCGCCGACTACACCAAGAAGAAGAACGTGTTGCGTCTGCACCTCCATGACGGCTCCGAGTTCCTGCTTGAGACGACCAGCACGGAGGAGATGACCTCATGGTTGGGCAAGATCTCACATTATGCAGGTACTGACTTTTGTTAGGGAAGCAGTTGCCGAGGGTTGAACAGTTCTAATTGAGAATATGTATTGATGTTTGAGATGTGGTACACATAGTTGTTAGGAAAGCAGTTGCTCAGAGTTGAACGGTTCTAATCGAGATTATGTATTGATGTTTGAGATGTGGTACACATAGTTGTTAGGGAAGCAGATGTCGAGGGTTGAACGGTTCTAATCGAGATTATGTATTGATGTTTGAAATATGGTACATCTAGTTGTTAGGGAAGCAGTTGCCGAGGGTTGAACGGTTCTAATCGAGATTATGTATTGATGTTTGAGATGTGGTACACATAGTTGTTAGGGAAGCAGATGTCGAGGGTTGAAAGTTCTAATTGAAATCATGTATTGATGTTTGAGATATGGGACACATGGTTGTTAAGAAAGAAGCTGCTGAGGGTTAAAGGGTTCACAGATAATATTAAGGGCTGTTAGATGACAATATGTACATAAACTTTGGTGTTATTGAATTGTATATTTTGCTGATATTGCTGTTAAGGAGAGAATATATTACTGATGAATTGTGCCTTTTTGTGCCATAAGTTCTGTATGACATATTACACAATGACTGATACTGAATATATTTCAGGTTGTAGAGATGAGGCTATTGAGCTCACTCATCATATATTGATAGTGAATACTACTTCCATGATACATATTGTTACTTTGATGACACCTTATGTTTTCAGGCCTGCCCCCTAGTGAGTGTACCCGTAATTTAGTGTTCTCATTAATAAATCACAGTGTTTGTTTTCCTCAGGCACAAATAACTCTGAACTTATAGTCTCTTCAACTCATTTTTAGAAGTGTTTAAGATCTCAATTTTTAGTTTCAAGTCTTAGATATTTAAACTTATTGAAATTAGTTGTACTATTGTAATAGACTAATTCTAAGTGAAACGGCGTTGTCATAAAGTGTAGTATTAGAATATGACACTTAACATTTGTTGTCACTTCTGTCAGTAACTAATAATAACTGATAGAAATGTTAGCCCAAATAGCATTGTTGCAAAATGTCATTCCGAGTTTTCTATTGGATGGTAAGGCAGCTATTGGTGCTGTTTTCCAATGAACTACTTCCCTTTGTTCCACATTCCAGAGGAGCCCCCAATGTTTGACTCTCTGGAAATTACACATATAAGTGCTACAGAAATGGATGAGAATAGTGAACAAGGTGAAACAATTATTTGTTGCATACATGCGTTCGGGCATTATGGATGCTGAGTTTGGCTTGCTATGTGACGTTGGGCACTAGACTTAGACACTGGGAGGGGTCATTCAGTCTCCTGTTCTTTCCTAACACAGCAACTGGCAACAGCTTTCTACGTCTTTGTTTTCATGTGTGCTGCCAGATCACATGACACATCACATGACCTATCACATGACAACACCACCTTCTATGTTGCCCTCACCTCCCTCCAAACACCATCATCACCCCCTACCGTTGTGGCTGTGGGCTAGGTAGAAACCACTTGGTTCATCCTTGTTAAGGATTTCACTGATGTTCTCAGTACAAGTCTAAATACCACATCCCTATTCTTCACTTGTTTGTTTGCATGCTGTTGCAGTGGTTGGTGTTTTTGACAAAAAGTGATTTGTTGAGTTGTGCTTTTAAGTTTTATTGTCCCATTTAGGCTGATTGGCCCAGTGATCCCCTCTGCTTGTATACACAATCCACCAGGACCTTCTCACAGTGATACCTAGTTCTATGTGTTGCTTGTTTTTATTTTGTTTTATTTCAACTCAGATGGACCATGCTTATTGGCAGAGGCTTATGTCATGTTTTCTAAATACTGACTGCAGTAAGACCATATCCGTAGGGCTGGCATCCCCCTTCTGTATGAGAAAATAGCCATGTTCGTAGGGCCTGGCATCTCCTCTATCTGTATGAAAAGGGGGGGCACGGGTGGCCCTGTCGTCTAAGGTACTGTGAAGAGTTGCATCCCTTGGGCACGCCAGAAACCTATGATTGTGGGTTCAAATCCCGGTTCGCCCCTATTATGTTTCTAGGTTTGTCAGCACCATACCCGTGCTGGTGGGTTTCACCAAAGTGGTAAACGTCTAAGACCTGCATCACTTCAGGCTCTCCTCCCACATTAAGCTGACACGCCATGATATAACTGGAATACTGTTAAAAGCGGCATAAAAACCAACTCACTCACTCACTCACTGTATGAGAAAATAGCAGTATCTGTAGAGCCTGGCATCTCCTTTGTCTGTAAGAGAAAATAGCCATATCAGTAGGCCTGGCATCCCCTGTGTCATTTTAAGACAATAGCCATATCCCTGACAACCCCTCTGCCAATCAGTATCGTCTCATCTCATATTTAGAACTCTTTTTATTTTGATACTTTTGAGTTGCATTTTCACTCCTCTTGTTAGTATTTTAGCTTTATGCTTTGCTGAAAGCTGGAGGTAGACCACAATGCCAGACATGTAAATGATTGCCAGTAGTTTTGGCCTAAGTGAATATTTATTTTGATGATTATACATGGTTGTTGATATTTAGCATGTTTAGAAAGCATTTATCAAGTTTCAATGTAACAGATATTTATTTTCAGTTTATTGAACTTGTTCTCTTTGTTTGCATGACTTGCGTATTTGGTTTGAGATATTGTGAATGAGGGTGACGGTGTCAGCAAGTCACAATCATGGATTCAATAAATCTGTAAACATACATTATAATTATAGATTTATGCAGCAAGAAATGCTAAATTCTAAAAGCTTCAAACTATGTTAACATTTGAAGTATCTCAGAAACTGCATTGCATATTCCTAGCAACTTGTTTGCATTAATTTGCAAATGTTTAAGACAATCTTTTTTCTACAATGCCAATGGAACAATAAATTATAACAGCTTGGAATAAATTGTATTACTAAATATCTTCCCAGTGCTTCTGTTTGAGTTGATCTGTTTACATGTTGCTTGTTAATGAAAGCTGCCAACTTTGTAAAGGTAATCCATGATTTGACTTGCATCAACTTATTCCAGGTGTCTGTCAGAGTTTGTAGAAATGATTATGCATTGTGACCTGTAATATTATCCACTAAATAACGTCTTGCCATTAAGCTTTTCATGTGTGCATTTTGGACCACACTTGTAGCTTGTGTTGCTTTTGTTTTCTGTTGAAAGTTTAAGTTAAAATTTCATTTTTTTCTGTTCACATAATCATGTTTTGATGAGCAAATGTTTTCCACGTTTTAAGACAAACATGTCCACTGATTCACAAAATGATACATAACACATAAAACTCCTGTACTAAATTCTGGCTGTTTGTTTGTGATAGCCCTGGAGCCATCCGATCAGTTCACCCCCTACACAGGGTCAGAGAGTCCGCATCGAGAGCAAAGTCCGCCCCCCAAACAAAGCCGTGTCGACGATAATGGCAGTGGTGACCACAAGCGAATGTCGGCAGTCATCGAAGCTCCCTCTGGTTCTGAACTAGGAGAAGAGTTCATGACACATGTTCGGACCGGGAGTGGAGCCAGCAACAGATCAGGTAGGTAGCCTGGTCCATGTTGGACCTTCCTGCCAGAACTCTTGGAAAATGTTGACGATAAAAGGCCACTCTGCGAACATGGACTGTGATGAATAGGATGATGTAATTAAATTTGCAGAAGTACATAATAAATGTCATTATGAGAACTTTGTAAATAAAAGCACTTATATAAACTTTACCCAAATTGTCAGTAGCTTATGCCCTATATAACAGTTGACAGTATCCAACCCAAAAGGTTCTTGTTGGGTCTTTCTTCAGAAGTTTTACCTTGATGACCAGGATTAGAACTGATCTTCAGCAAACCCAGCTTGTTGTAAGAGGCGACTACCAGGATCGGGTGGTCAGGCTCGCTGACTTGGTTTATGCATGTCATTGTATCCCATTTGTGTAGATCGATGCTCATGATGTCAGTCACTGGATTGTCTGGACCAGTCTTGATTATTTATGGACAGCCAACTATAATATTGCTGAGCGCAGCTTTAAACAACAAACAAACAAACAAACATCAGATGTTTTGGTTATGCATCTATCTAAATGTCCTGATTGTATCTTGTCAGATGAAGACCGATCTTATGTTGCTGGTGGAGTGTATGCCCCGATGGGATCAAATGGCAATCATGACGGACATGGTGAGTATTGTTAAGGGAGTCAACCCATGCTTGAGATCCAGTCTACTGGTTCACTTATCAGGACCTGTTGTTAGCCTACCTTGCGCTCGGCATTAAGGGGATAAAACAAGAAGATGTATGACAGATTAACTACAGTAATATGAAAGAATCGAGTGGCTCTTCACTTTTTTGAGTAGTAAAAGATCAAGTCAAATAATTACCAATCTCATTAAAGTCAGATCTAAGTTCTCGTGCCGCTAAACAAAGATCTGAGGACATCCCATTGGGGGTCACGTCAGAACGACCTTTAGTGACCTTTGACCGACCACTAGAATGACTGACAAGAGGTCGACATCAGCCTATTACAAAGCAGCTTTCCAGAATGTCTAATATATGGTTGAGATTGTATGACAGTGCTTCCCATGTACTGTGCAATGCCTCCTCCGCTCAAATGTTTTCCCCACAGAAGCGAGAAACAGACGATAATGTTGACGGAATCAGTTGTACAGGCCGTAACTGTTGTTCAGAATACCACATGTTAACGTTTTCGAGGTTGCATGATCAGAAAACACATTCCGACTGTAACTTTCACAATCTGGTAAGCGACGCTTTTATTGGTCGGATGAAAGGTCATTCTGACGTGACCCATAATGGGATGTCCTCAGATCTTTGTTTAGTGAAAGCGAGAACTAAGATCTGATTTTAATGAAATTGAATAATTACTATTAAAGAATATGTTTCACTGATACATTATAGAAACTTGCATTGGGAAAAGTTAAGAAATAGATACTTTTTGCAAGGTTAGAACCTACCCGGGTAACTGAAAAGCTTTTCTAGCCTGGGTAAAGATAAAATGCCCTTGTTAATGTTAAAACAATTGGAAAATTGGGGAATTTGTACTAGCCCTTAGCTAGCGGGCTAGTATTAATTTCGAATCTTGTTTTTGATGAAGCCTATATATGTCCCTTGTGAAGTGGTGTGTGGGTTTTTATAGAAGTTTCCTATTTCTCTTTTCAGACCATGATGAGGATGAAGTCCATGTGAGTTGCATCTATCCTCACCATTTACTTAGGGCGTTATCGCTGTCAATAAAGTTTGCATAATACTTGTAGGCCTTATTAACCACTTACAGTGCCAGATGAAGGCTGGGGGGGCAAAAGCTGAAGAATATGTATATTTATGACTTAATAATGTTAATATACCATGTGATGTCTTGCCTTGACTGGGGCAGTATCCCGAACGAGGATCTTGATGCAGTGTGGTAGTAAATCAATAGGAGTTGACAGGTCCACAGTACCTAGATCTACACTTCCATAGATCAACAGTACCTAGATCCTCAGTCAAGTTGATGGTGTATTTGGGCAGAAAAAGGTCATATAGAATCAAATAAGCCTTCCGACTCTCTAGTAGACTTTCAGTTTTCATTGACCCATTTTGCCATTCTGACTTCTCTTACTCTGTCTCCTAGTACCGAACAAAACACCCGGGAGCTGCAAGTGGACGTCCGATGTCTGAGCCAGCTGGTCACCTTGACGACAGTCACTCAGAGAAGGAGAAGAGGAAGAGTCACGGTGTGTTCGGCTTCCTGAAGAAGAAGAAAGACAAGGACCACAAAGAACATAAAGACCTGAAGAAAGACCGGGTGTAAATTCTTGGGGGAAAAGGAAACCTCAAGTTCTCTATAATGGTATCCCACACTCAACAGTGTACCCTCACCCTGTCATACTTCCTATATTGGTGTGATGGCAATTCAGGTTCTGTCATAATTTGTATTGGAATACAAAGTATCTGTTATATGCATAGAAATGTTACAGATTCGTAATGCATGCTACACTGGCAATACTACCAGGTTAAGGAATGTATTAGAACACTGAAATGGATTCAGAGTGAGGCAGTAACCCAAGAAGACCCAGTCTTTGTTAATGCTATGTACAAGTCCCACAGGAGAGGTCCAAAACAGGAGAGGCATAAATGTCCAATTTGGAAATGTCTCAGAATTTGAAGAGTACTACATTCAGTGCATCTGCCGGGAACAAATACAACACTATTGTGTTTTTTATATAATTGTATGTAGGGGTTGTCACTTGCTGAGAGGATTGATTCTTGGGTGCAGAATTGTGTTGAACCCTCGGAAGGCCACAGAATGAGCCGAGTACAACCTTTAGATGAGTAGACTAATGTGTATATATGTCATGGATACTCCAGAAGACTAGTTTGCTGTCTTCGATTCTTGTCTCTGTAAGATCTGGCCGCAGTCCAGTAGGATGTAGGTTTCTATGTTTACATATAGATATTTATACATAGTCTGTTATATATTATTTAATGTGTATCAGAGTTCTAATTATTTTATACCAGCCATGACGGTTTCTGTACAAGAACATCACCAGACACCAGCAAACTGGTCCTGACTTCTTCTTCTGTGTTTATACATCTCATTTTCCTGTCAGAGAAGCATGCCAAAGCTGAAGTGAGAGAGATTGATTTTTGTCAAATATTTCACTCTATTAGAACTCCAATGAATTCTTCTTTTCCTGTTTAGAAGAAGTGATCATCATCTTTAAGTCATTTTCATGGAGGACTAGTTTGCTGGTCTTGTTTATATCATGACATATTGGTTGTGATTGTAGTCATCGTGGAATCGCTGTTGTTACCATGGAAACAGTCTGTATATTATGTGGTATATTGCTTCTTCCAATATCTATTTCTTCCAGCTTTGTATGTTGTCAATGTTAATGACTTATTAGTAAATAGTTAAGTTTGATGCATAGTGTTTTAATGAAATGTTGATGAAATAATTAAATTTTATTGAAGTTGTGAGTAATGTTTTTGAATCATTGATCATGTTGTTAACAAGTTACATTTCATAAACAGCCACTGTTTTACCATTGTCATTTATCATTTTGATACAATTACATGTATTATGTTATCATAACTCAATGATGGAAACATTCCTTTGGATCATAAAAATGTTAATTATCTCATTCCATCTGTTGTGTGGCTGAAACATTTTAAAAGCTTTTGTCAAATTACAACCATTCCAGAAATACAGAAACCATGTTGAACAATGGGATTTGAGTATGTAGGCTACTAATTGTTGTGTCCACGTAATAGAGAAGCATGTTGGCTCTATCCTTCACAAAGTGCTATTAGTATTACAGCTGACAGTCCAGGATGTGAATGTCCATTGAGCATAATAGAGCAAGGTTGTGCCAGCTAGATACTACCTGTGATATTCCTGTCCCAGCACCCAGGACAAACAGTGCCTTCCCCAATGGCTAGTGTGTAGACGTATGATCAACATGCAAATCTATCTGCCTTTGCTCTCTACCTGTTCCTTATAAGAAGTCATTTTTGATTATTGTTTTAAAGATTTAGCAATCAGTGTGTTCAGAACTCACTTGCCGTCCATTTTACGAGTCACGTTCTACAAAAATGTAGCGAGCTTCCATGAAGTAAGGATTCCAAGTTTGGCATTACTGCTATACTGCCACTGAGCTAACTGAGTGTTCAAACCTGTTGCAAATGAAATATCAGGGGACCATTTATTGTTTCAAAGATAACTTAAATAATGAATTCATTTTTTTAAATGAATACTACATTCCTATTCTATCATTTCAAAGATTGAGTTTTGAATCTCTTTAAACTCCTGTTTCTGTTTATATTGTTATTCAAATTAAGACCACTGGTGCTATTTCCAATAGTATGCAATAACTTACGAAATAAGATTATATTTTACGAGGCGTGCCGGTCATATCCGTATTGCATGTAGTCCATGTTCATGATATACAGACCATGCTTGTGATTGTAGTAACTAATTGCAAGTGCTAATACACAGAATATGCCTGTATATCAACTGACTTGTTACTGGTAATAAAACATTTACATAATACAGGTTGTGTTTGTTGTAATGTTACCGGGAGATATCAGAGGTGTAATACCCTTCTATCCCAGCAACTGATTCTTACCACATCTTGGTTCCGAAGATGATGTAGCTTGTTCAGATCATAAGTCAGGTTTGTTGTTCAATTCCATTTATTGTAGGGTGTTGGATGAGAATTCCACACAATAGGTCCTCAGATGTATTTATGTTGCCTGACCGATATATTCACAAGACGTTTCTAGATGATGCATGGAAGAGCCCGGTAGTATTTTATATGAGCTCTTGACTTCTGACTTCTAGTAGTCAAACCTCTAAAATACACAGAGAACACCTTTCTGGTCAGCGAGGAGAGTTGAATTCACACACACTCAGCTTACAAATACTATCCTGATAAGATTTAGCTCGTCCCACCGAAATGAGCCTTAACTCTTTGTCTCTCTTTGTTTCACTAGCACCAGAGCCGAAAGAGTCATAACTCTTTGCCTCAACAATAACTAATTTCCATTTTTGTAACTTTTGACTGGGATTCAAACACTACTACCCAACTCCTCCTGACTAACACACTCCTATTTGCTATCTGGTCAATCTTGCACACAAGGGGAATGAATATTATGCCAGACTAGCAGTCGCCAGGGGACATTTAAAAGTACCATGAGTAATGTAAGAGCTGCAGAGAGACCATTCACTTCTTACCCTTGGGAACGAGCTCCATGGTCGAGCGGTAGGTCGGGGGATGATCGATGACCAAAAGAAGTTAAATTATGGCACTTGTTGTTACCCTGCCTGGCCCTCGGCATTAGGAGGGTAAAACAAGGACTGGTATACTGTGGCTGAGTGGGGTATTCATGTTTAACTGCGGCATGGTATGTCAGTGGGCTGGCACTATACCACGCATGCACACACACACTCATGCTCGTCTACATAAGTGCAGTAATCTGAGACTCAGAAACGTGTTCCTCATAATAAAGAAGTTGACATCAATAAATTCTCTTCCTTATGTGTATCACTTCAAAATGCCATTCAAAGACCTAAAACCATGGCCATTTCAACTTTAGTACCTATATTTCTTTCTCTTACAAATCATCCAAGTGAATTTTTTCATGAATTAAACAAAATATTCTTCAGTTTAGGAATGATAAAAGGCATAAGATAAAAGTTTTATCATAAAACGAACAATATTAATTAGGAAACATGAGGAAGGCGGACTGAGAATGATAGTGGTTAGGTCTTATATCAATCCTCTAAAATTGTCATTTCTATTAAAAAAACATCTTCAAAACAAAAGCCGTAATGACCCTAGCATATTTCCACTGAACATACATTCGTACTATGGGCTAATATTGAAAACAATAAAAACTTAACTAACCTTTACTGGAGATATGTATTGGCTGATTGGTGACAATTTATGGAAGATACAAAACTGATTCCACTTGCACTGGACAAGTACTGTCAGAACAGGTGTAATACAGGTGAAGAGCTTAAAGCTAAAAGGGGCCAAAATGCACTTTGGCCCTTTTTGCATATTATTGTATAAATAACGTCTATGAGTTCTTGTCTACCTGTTGAAAAAATATTGTATGTTTTAATTGATGCGTTTTTTAAATATAGCTACTTAAAATTCTATAAAAGGGCCAAAGTCACTTTGTTAGATTTTGGCCCTTTTAGCTCTCATTTCCGTGTGTGGTTGAGACTGGTTGTCTGAGAGAGATTTTAAAAGTTTTGAATCTTATCATATTTCAACTATTTCAATAAGGTTGGCATTAGTTTAAATCATTTAAAAGTACTTCAATAGCATGTGTTTGTACTTTTAGTAGTAGTATATCAATCTCACATGGTAAATCTCATGCAAATGCCTGAGGGCCAAAATACAGACACTGGCCCTTTCCACCCTCACACAAATTACAAACATAAGTTTATTTCCATGTTTGAATGTTTTTTATAACAACATTTATATCTTTGCTGTCAGAATGCGTTAATGTCTAGGAATTTATCGGTGAAAAAAAAGTTCATTAACATGCATAATATTATGTGTTTTCATCACTTTTCTCAAAATAGACTCCACATGACATTGGCCCTTATGGCTCTAAGCTCTTCACTGGTGTACATATCAGTATCAGATCGACATTGGCCATTATGGCTCTAAGCTCTCACTGGTGTACATATCAGTATCAGATCGACATTGGCCCTTATGGCTCTAAGCTCTCACTGGTGTACATATCAGTATCAGATCGACAGGTGGTGAAACCAACAGGCTACATTGTCATGTTTACTGGGGTCATCAATAACTAAATGCGAAGCTAAATGCTTACAGCACATTTATGAGGTACAATCGAGCAAGCTCTTTCTGCCAAGATTTTAAAGAGTGAGTGAGTGAATTATGGTTTAACGCTGCTTTTAACAGTATTCCAGTTATATCACGGCGTGTCAGCTTAATATGGGAGGAAAGCCAGAAGTGATGCAGGTCTCAGACGTTTACCACTTCGGTGAAACCCACGAGCACGGGTATGGTGCTGACAAACCTAGAAACATAATCGGGGCGAACCGGGATTCGAACCTACAATCATAGGTTTCTGGCGTGCCCAAGGGACGCAACTCTGCACAGCGAATCGCGGCGCCTTAGACGACTGGGCCACCCGTGCCCCCAGATTTTAAAGAGTAACAGTAACCTTTACAACATTCTGTGCCTTAGTAAAGCTTTAAATGTTTTGTGTTCGACATGTGGAGGACATTTCCAAATTTGACGCATCAATTACCAAAATGATGTCCGATGCAGTTCCCTATTTTGACTTATACCATATGTTCCCGTGTTTTTCAGACGAACAATTGACTTGCCTTTGAATGTGTTTATTATGGGTGCCACCGATGGGGAATAATACTCACATTTTCGCTCATCATTTCGCAATCATCACTATTTGATAGTGTTTCAAAAACATATGCTCATGATATGGTCGGAATCGTACAATCGACTCTGCTTTTGGCAGAGATTTCTTATGAATACGGAAAGGGTTTTGTCACTTTAACATGATTATTGAATGGAATTTGGTTGATTTTATTATCTTTTAATTCGTTATTGAGAAGACATTTGACCCACATCCTAGTGTTGTACAGAAGAGCCATGACAAGGCCATATTGCCCATTTCTGTGTTTCTCACCTCGACGCCTGCAATTTTCCCTTCTGCCAAAGGAATAACAAAGTGTAATTCTGAATTATCTGTTGTCCATTTGTATCTGAATGACGCTTCTTAAAAGAAGTAGCAGATTTCACAGACGGCTGCCAAATGCTCCCGTGTTTTTTCAAGTGAACAACTGGCATGTATTTGCGTGTGTTTGCGATGGGAACAACCGTTGGGGCTGGATACGCTCACCTTACGGGCCCGATACGAACACTTGGTATCATCACTATTTGATAGTCATTCATAAACACACGATAAAATCGGACTCGTACAGTCAACTCTGCTTTTAACAGAGGTTTCTTGTGAACACAGAAAGGGTTTTTAGTCATTTTAACTGAAGACCACTGTCCTCGACATAAACGTACGTAAAGTGAACAGTTGAACCTTGGATTTGAAACAAATTTTGGCTACATCTACTTCCGAGTTACGATATATGATTCGCGTCAACTATAGTTAATAAATAAAGCGGAGAGCTGTGTTGATGGTTCAGACTACACATGGCATGAAAACCTGCAACAATGGCAAAGCAAGGGCCTCTCTGCTATTGTTGAAGTTCGGGATGGGTGGGCAAAATAATTTAATGATTTAATCTGGGACGGTCCTGTACATCACCGGTCTGAGCATGTTTCTCGACTAAACGACTTACGACAGTGTGATTATACCCCAAATTCCGACCAATGGCTTTAAAAGACATTTCTGCGTTATGCATGCCGATTTTGCCATCTTGTTGCCTTTGATAATCGCCTTCGTGCCATGGTCACACAATGTCATGGAATAACTGTTTAAAACCGAGCTTAAGAAAGCAATTTTAACGTTTGGATATACTGCTTTTAGAGATACTCGTGGGTAGCATGCTGCACGGGCATACCGTGCATGGCACGTGAGCTTTCGTCAGGCATGACTGATTACATCATCTCGAGCAAACAAAATTCTTCCCGTAATTATATCTTTAATGACTGTTACAAATATTGGGACCAAACAATAATGAAATATATTAGGGTGTGCATAACATTTTCCTCTGAGTATATTTTCTACATTCACCTCAGTTTAATTAACGCTTATGAAATGAAAATATTAACCAGTTCTGGAATTCAATTTATAATGTTATTAAGTTTAATGTATTTGATCTTCGTTCAGCTGTGAAAATCTACAAAAAGATTTTGTTATTCATACAAATATATATATTCAAATATAAAATGGTAAATATGGTATGAATTTGGTTTTAACGCCAACATTTTCCCAGGACGATTTGGGCGATTAATCAATGCTTATGAAATGAAAATATTAAATAGTTCTGGAATTTAATTTCAAATGTTATTAAGTTTAATGTAGTTGATTTTCGTTCAGCTGATAAATATATTCATGAAAATTTTGTAGGTATTTGGTTTTATGGCCAACAATTGTCCAGGAAGATTTGGGCGATATAACCAGGGCAGCCATTCTAGTCAGTTAAAACCAAGTCCTATATGAATACATATATATTTAAAGCTCTCAACGCTACTGTCGAACTTGTTCGACATAGTGTGTCACTAGCCGTGTTGCTACTGTCGAACCAGTTCGACAGGCGAATAGCATAAGGACACCAACAAACAAAACTCGCCATATCTTTTTACCAAGAAGGCTTTGCGTAACATTTAAATTACGTATGGCATGCATAAACGCTCAGCTTGCTCAATATCAAAACTTTGAGTAGTGTATTTACCTGAAAAAGAAAATATCGCGAGTTAAAAAAGATTCGGCCAAACTTCTCGGCACACAACTACCAGAAACGGCCATTGTTAATTTTTGGCACTTCGCGTTGAGCGGCATGCAGTCCGATATTTTCTTTATAATGTTATCATTTTTCACACTCGATCATGATTTATTGTTTGCTGACGAAAGGAAAATACTCAAATTCCTTAATTTTTTAAAATAAGCAAATTTCGATGTAATTAATTATAAACAAAAACAATCTGAATCGTAACATCATCGATTGGATGTAACTTGTACGATCATGGCAACGGCGGTAAACAAACAACTCCACATGCATAGTGATCCCGTAAGACTATTACAATAATTTCGTTACATCTAACTCAATTTTCTAGAATTATTGACACGCATGTATAAATCTGTGTAAAATAAAATCTCATTTTTACAGTTTGCAAATGATTTCGTTTGATAAACTTTCGGACACATTGACAAGCCGACAAACGTCAGTGATACGTTTGGGCGTGGCTTAACTCCCGATTTGATTATTTGAACAAGGTCAACAAACACTGCAAATAATGACAAACATTGGATGATACGCAAAATCTGAACTGATATACATTATAGGTGAACCATTCAACAGCAAAATAATGCAGTTTACGAAAAATAATCAAATACTTGCAATTTAAGCTATCATTTCTGAAACCGGAAGCACGTACCGCATGACACATCGAAGCAAAATATGCAAACGTTGGTAAGCTATCATAACAAAATATTCCGAAATAGATTCAAATTCAAAACAAAATACATAGTTTACTATTTTTCGACAACTGTTTACTATTTATTGATCTGGATAGCAGCCTTCACTCCTATTTGTTTCATATTTATTCGTGATTGCCGCCGGTGCGTAACATCAAATTTGTAAGTCTAAATCCGAAACCGTAAGGGATTCATGCAGCTCGATGATTTGAAAATTATTTTCTGAAAACGAAGGCAGCGGAGAGCGATATAACATATTGATATGCCATAATAATAACAACATAATAATGTTATTGGTCTGTCATTGGAAGGACAACTTAGAATATTAAGGATTGTTTTTAAAACGTTTACTCCCCCTCCCCAACCTTCAGAACGGATGAAAGTAGGTATACACTTTGACTTGATGAATGTAGGGCCTATGTGATTCTGTTCCCAACGTACTTGGTGATTTTGTTCCCAAGAAAACTAAACTAAATCTGTTTGATCATATTTATTTTTTCATGTTTATTGCAAACAATGAGCTGAGCATTATGATAAAAAATTTCATCAAGTTCATAATATGACTAACCTAAATGTACCTGGTCCTTGAGTGAAGTCAGTCCACACTGGCACAACTCAAATTGACTGATTGTGATAGGAAAGTCATTTATTCTTATCACTGGAGAGGAAGGCAGTAAATTGATAAACCATAAGTAAATTGTAGATCTAGTGTTTTGACAGAAAAGTGATAACAAATTAACTTTTTCAAACAAAATGCAATGTGTAAGTTTGAAACTACAAAGCTGTAATACAAAAATATTCTGGGCACAAAAGCACATACCTGTTTGGGTACAAACTCTCAAGACATTTTACGTACAAAAAGCACATTTCAAATGGATTTCGTAGAGCAATGGGATAAAGATAGATTTCTAATCAGTGGAATTTTATTTCGTAAACTGAAATAAGGTCTAAATGTGATTATCCCTGGCTTCCGGCGGAAGTCACAAGCCTTTCAAAGTCACGTGAGAAAAACGAGATCTCGTCCTTGATTCTCTGGCTTCCGAAGACGCAAGACGTGGAATTTTGCGTGCTCGTCTTGTGTTTTTCATCGTGAGCAATCTTCGATGGTGTTTCGTCAGTCTTGCTCTTTTTGTGACTTTTCTTCTTGGCTTAACTCTTTTCTTCGGTTTTTTAACCGTCATGAGATCGAATCATTCATCGGCTTCGGATGGCGAGGATGGAATTCCTGTTAGCCAAAAGCATGGACGCCATGTGCCTGTCAGCCATGAGGCAACCACGGCCACTGGAACCAGCCATGAGGCAAACAATAACCAGAGCCATGAGGCAGTTGGTGACAATTGCAGACCTAAGGATATTGATTTGGAGAATCGAAGCAGGAAACGAAATAGGAAGGACTGGAAAGGCTTCACAATTCCAAAACGGGACCAAGCCAAATCGCGCCATCGTCATCGCAAAAGAAGTGACAGTAGCACTAGTAGTTCTCATTCCGATAGCTCGTCATCCAGCTCAAGTAGTGACACTAGTTCGTCAGAATCGTCAGTTTCGGAAGATTGTGTTTCCGACAATCGTACTGTTAGTACTGACAATCACCTGTATAAGCGTTTTAAGCCCACAGATGATAGGGCTGAACAAGAACTGTCTAACGAACTGCTAGATTATGCACATGAGCATTTCAACCACTACATTAAAGATGAAGTTATCACCAAGAACTTATTAGAGGGCTGTCCGACCCCAAAAGGATTTGTGCTACTAGAGCTTGATGAAGAATGGTCAGATATGTTGGAAGAAAAAAGATTTACTGCGGCTAAATCTGTTGAAGCAGGGTTGGGAAAAATCCTATCAAGACTACTCAATGTGATGGGACCACTCGGTCAAGTGTGGCAGACAGTGGATAAAATCAGAGATAAAGGTGGTGAAGAGATTGATGTGAACGACTTTTTTAATTTAGTTGAAAAGACTGTTTGTTTGTTGGGACAAGCTAACGTTGCCACTACTTTTTATAGAAGACTGAACATTCTAACAAAGCTGATGAAAAGTCAGAAGAAAGCCCAGAAATTTCTCTCAAAGAATGAGAAAAAGTTCAGTGACAAGAAGGCCTTGTTTGGCAAAGGTTTTTACAAGAAATTGTTAAAGCTGTCCAAGAACAGAAAGAAGAGATTAGACACTGGGAGACAGTTTTCAGACTACAAAAACAAGAGCCACTATGGCTTCAAGAGCTCTACTAGAGGGTTTAACAGAGGAAACAGCCGACCCTTTCACAGAGGGCCCTCATCAAGTTACCAGGGTTACAGAGGTGGGGGCCGTTACATTACCAACTCTTTCCAGAAGGTGCAATTCACCAACTCGACTAGAAAGCGAGACGGTGGTGGCAGAGGCAGAGAGTTTTCCAGAGGAAGGTATGTATGTTTCACAATATCAAAAGGAAAACACACTGCACAGTCAGTTACAGGACCTAGACTTTCAGGTCATTCAGGAAGATCCCAAACTAGGGGGGAGATTAAAACACTTCATAAAAAATTGGCCAAAGTTGACAAAGGATCATTACATTCTAAACATTGTTCAGGGGTACAGAATAGAATTCAATCAAATTCCTCAGCTAAAATCAGAACCAACAGAACTAAAGATGCAAAAATCAGAAATGGACATAATGTCTGCAGAGGTAACAAAAAGGTTAGAGAAAGGGGCAGTGCAGTGGGTTTCTCCAGTAAGAAACCAGTTTGTGAGCACAGTGTTTGTGACCCCAAAGAAAACAGGGGGTCACAGACCGGTATTCAATGCAAAGAAACTAAACTGTTGTGTTGCTTACCAACACTTCCAAATGGAAGGAATAGTGACACTGACAGAACTAGTAAACAAACAGGACTATATGATCAAAATAGATCTCAAAGATGCCTATTTTTGTGTCCCAGTGTGCAACGAGCACAATAAATACCTAAGGTTCCGCTGGCAAAACAAATTTTACGAGTTTCAGTGCCTACCCTTCGGACTTGCTTCAGCACCAAGGGTATTCACGAAGCTTTTGAAACCAGTGATATCTTTCTTACGCAGAATAGGAATCCGAGCCCAAATTTATCTAGACGACTTGATTTTGGCCAATCCCCAGAAAGATGCATTGATGATAGACAGGGATTCGACCCTAGAAATTCTAGAGAAACTAGGTTTTGTGGTGAATTGGAAGAAGTCAGTCCTAGAACCATGTCAGATAATAGAGTACTTGGGTTTCACTGTCAACTCGACAGACATGACGTTGGCACTTCCACAGGACAAAGTGACTGGCATTCTTCGACAGTGCGAAATGATGTTGACTTGTTCCAACACAACTGTACGACAACTAGCGACATTGATAGGCAAACTAACTGCCTCAATGATGGCGGTGCTACCAGCACCACTACACTATCGACATTTTACAAATGTTGAGAACGAACGCTCTCCTACCCAAACAAAACTACGAGACTAAAGTGACTTTGACAGTAGAGTCCAAACAGAAACTGAGATGGTGGATACATCATCTTGCCGATTGGAACGGCAAATCTTTTCTCTCGACAGGGCCAGATGTAGTCATAACTACAGATGTCTCGAAATCGGGGTGGGGAGCAGTGTATGGGAAAGTTCGGACAGGTGGAGTGTGGAGTCTCTCCAAGAGAAAACACCACATCAATGTTCTGGAGCTTATGGCTGCTTGGTTATCCATTCAGACATTTGCCAAGAGCAGAACAGATGTACACATCCATCTAAGGATGGACAACTGATCAGCAGTGGCATACCTCAACAAGAAAGGGGGAACGAAGTCCATGGACTTGTTGACGGTAGCCCAAATGATCTGGGATTTCTGCCTCGAGAGAAAGAACATAATATCGGCCGAATACCTTCCCGGGAAGGACAATGTGGAGGCAGATTGGGAGTCGAGACACCACTCAGACTCCAGCAACTGGAAACTGAAAACAGTTTATTTCAATTAAATAAACAAAATTTGGGGACCAATAAATGTGGATCTGTTTGCCGACAGACTGAACAGACAGGTGGACAGGTATGTCAGCTGGTGGCCAGATCTGACAGCATGGCAGACGGACGCCTTCCTAATGGAATGGAAGGACATGAAACCGTATGCATTTCCCCCATTCAGATTAATAGGCCGTTGCCTAATGAAGGTAAAAAAGGAAAAATCAGAACTCATACTAATAGCTCCCCCATGGCAAAGCCAACCGTGGTTCCCTATTCTGATGAGCTTGTTAACAGAGGAGCCAATCCTCCTTCCTCCAGACCCACAAATGTTTTCGTCTCCAGCAGGGGAGACCCACCCCCTGATGGAACAAGGGTCTCTTACCCTTGCAGCCTGGAGAATCTCGGGAGTTGTGACCAGCCAGAAGGCATTTCTGAATCGGCTTCCGAGTTACTCTCCAAATCCAGGCGCCAGGAACTCTTACAACAGCTCCTGGCAGAAATGGCGTAGGGTGCATGGGGTGGGAAATTGATCCATTTCAAGCCTCTGTGGCAAATGTGATTAACTTTCTCACTCGTCTGTATGAATCGGGCTATTCTTACAGCACAATCAATGCAATAAGATTTGCTATTTCAGCTGTTCATCCCCATGTGCAGGGAGAACCGGTAAGTCAAACGAAAGAAATTAAGAACACAATGAGAGCAATATTCAATGAAAGGCCTCCCCAGCCTAAGTATACCGAGACCTGGGACATTGACACAGTGACAGAGTACATTGAAAGTTTAGGCCCAAACAGTGACTTACCTGATAAGATCCTTACACAAAAGACAGCGATGTTGTTAGCACTGACGAACGCGAGTAGGGCTTCTGAGTTGCACAAATTAGATCCTAACAATGTTTCAGATTTTGGAGACCACATCGAATTTGTTATTACTAGATTGACAAAAACACGGAAGTTGGGGTCTTGTCCAAGCAAAGTGACCGTTTATTCATCTGACATACCCGAACTTGACCCCACATCATCACTTAGAGCTTTCCTACACAGAACTATGTGCTGGAGAGTATCTTCAGAGCAGGAACATCAATTGTTCTTGAGATGTTCCAAGCCACATAGACCAGTTGTCACATCAACTGTTTCTAATTGGTTGAAACAGCTGATGAAACAGGCAGGGATTGATACCAAGAAATTCCAGGCTCATTCAACTAGATCAGCGGCTACTTCCAAAGCCAGAAACTTTGGGATGTCAGTTGCTGAAATTATCAAATGTCTCTTACCCTTGCAGCCTGGAGAATCTCGGGAGTTGTGACCAGCCAGAAGGCATTTCTGAATCGGCTTCCGAGTTACTCTCCAAATCCAGGCGCCAGGAACTCTTACAACAGCTCCTGGCAGAAATGGCGTAGGGTGCATGGGGTGGGAAATTGATCCATTTCAAGCCTCTGTGGCAAATGTGATTAACTTTCTCACTCGTCTGTATGAATCAGGCTATTCTTACAGCACAATCAATGCAATAAGATCTGCTATTTCAGCTGTTCATCCCCATGTGCAGGGAGAACCGGTAAGTCAAACGAAAGAAATTAAGAACACAATGAGAGCAATATTCAATGAAAGGCCTCCCCAGCCTAAGTATACCGAGACCTGGGACATTGACACAGTGACAGAGTACATTGAAAGTTTAGGCCCAAACAGTGACTTACCTGATAAGATCCTTACACAAAAGACAGCGATGTTGTTAGCACTGACGAACGCGAGTAGGGCTTCTGAGTTGCACAAATTAGATCCTAACAATGTTTCAGATTTTGGAGACCACATCGAATTTGTTATTACTAGATTGACAAAAACACGGAAGTTGGGGTCTTGTCCAAGCAAAGTGACCGTTTATTCATCTGACATACCCGAACTTGACCCCACATCATCACTTAGAGCTTTCCTACACAGAACTATGTGCTGGAGAGTATCTTCAGAGCAGGAACATCAATTGTTCTTGAGATGTTCCAAGCCACATAGACCAGTTGTCACATCAACTGTTTCTAATTGGTTGAAACAGCTGATGAAACAGGCAGGGATTGATACCAAGAAATTCCAGGCTCATTCAACTAGATCAGCGGCTACTTCCAAAGCCAGAAACTTTGGGATGTCAGTTGCTGAAATTATCAAATGTGCAGACTGGTCAAAAGCTAAAACCTTTCATAGATATTATGAAAAAGGTATTAAAAAAACCACCAATGAGAAATTTGCAAACATTGTTCTAAACTAAATGAATAAGATGATATTACAATGCAAAACTGTTGGGATACAGAATTATTAGGGATCAGAACTTTAAACAATCACATTTAGACCTTATTTCAGTTTACGAAATAAAATTGGGAATTTTATAAGCGTGCGGATGAAATTGTAATTTTTTGAGTAAACTGAAATAAGGTCTAAATCCCTCCCTCTCCACCCTGGTGATTACACATTATGTACTTGAATGGATTCAACTTACATCTTTAGTGAAAGAATTTTTATCTGGATCATATTATTAAATGATTAATGGTGGAATTCTCAAATTATATGTGAAGAGTTTATTTAGTGAAACCATAAACTCATGAGTGTTTTTTGTTTGCAGTTAGAAGAGTTTGCAGACTATGGAGAAAGAAGGATCCACTTCGTGTGTTTGTTGCGGTTCTAGTTGGTTTATGTTCTATGAAGTGGGAACATGGTACCTGTGTGTTTGGGTGGATTGGACCACGGACGTGTTCAAGACATGGTTTACAAGTTGACTTTGTTGTCTTCGAACTCTGGTGCAGAATCTGATACTTGGGCCGATGTCACAGACATTCAAAGACGTTCGGTTTTGTTGACTCGGCATGTACTGTACCAGTATCTGTTTTCTGTTGAGTAAACTGTTATCACACTTAAAGGGGCACTGATCTAACGCAATTCCCCGGACTGGTTGTTGCCTTTGTTATTGTTTTTTCCCCCGTGAGTACCCGGATGATACGCAACGCAACTGAGCGTGACCAGAGACTGGGCTACCGTCTGCAAAGACAGCTAAATAAACTTGGAGCCTGGAGGCAATATTTGTTTTACGCATTTTTGCATAAACACTGATCGGTTAACCGTGAACTATTAAGATTTCGACAAAGGGCGCATGTTAATTAATTTCTTCAGCCTAAACTAACAGACAAAAAGAACGGCGTAGCTCATCGGATGTCGTCATTTGGAAATACCCCAGATGGTTATAGTTTACACTAAAAAAAGTATCCATGCAGTGAAAGCATTTTCGGTTTTCGGATTGCGTCGATAATACGATTACTACTCCCTTGTTGTCATCCGCGTTTTCTCGCATAACCCTACACTTGAGGATTTGTCGTCATTCACTTGATGCTCAGTTAATGAATTTATTACAGGTACAATTAGTGGTAGCACCACTTAGATTACCTGACAAAGGTTCCGATTTGGCATTTATTGTGTCTGGGGTAATTATTCAATCTAAATCCAGGTTTGAAGTGAGGTGAAATGTGTGTTATGTAATATGCACGTGGCAGACCAGCAAGAGGTGAATGATCAGTTGATTTACTTTTTTTGTAAGTCAACGGATCGTTCCTAGTCATCAAAGGATTAACAAAAAATACGTTGATTGATTAATCACTGTTATCTTGCACAGTGGATATGTCAAAAGTGAGTGTTTACATGTCTAGGTTTACTAAAACAAAGGGAATACACACATATCCTTGCGTGAAGTGCCGATGTAAAACCAACATACTTTGTTCAAAGGGTTAACTGATAATACGTTGATTGATTGATCATTGTTATCTATCACTCAATGGATTTTTTAGGAACCGTGAACGTTATGAAAATAGTTGTCACGTGGGCTTTCTCAGCTGACCCTTGAGACTTGACACCTATGTGAAACACCTGAAACAATCCAAGTGATCAGTTGAGAAACGAACACGGGTTATAATATCCCGAAACGATATATATCTTTTAAAATATGTGATTGTTACAGAGACACGTGACATCGAATAGGTTTCTTTGTACAGCTGCAGACGAGTGGGATAATGTTCCTTTGTGTGGATATTCACGGATACATTCCTCGAACAAGGAAGCTGCTTAACATTATACACATAAATTTGGTAGGTTGTAATTATGGTATTTGCATTTTGTTTTCCTTCATTTGCTGTAGCATTGAACCGATTCGTCCTTGTTTCTCTACGTCTTGGTTGGGAAATTCTTCAATGCGCGATATACGTTTGTAAAATGTAATTCTCTCAGGCAATTTATAAAATGTGTAAATATTTCAGTCATTTTGACTAAAAAATCTGTCCAGATTGATAAAAGCGATCAAAAGGGCCTACAAACATCACAACAGATTATTATGTAGGATTAGAAGCCAAACAACATAGAAATGTACTTTTCAACGTAACATTTTCAGTCTCTTGGTGATGACATTAAACATCAAAATGTTTGGAATTCGTTATCATAATAATACAGATGAAAATGTTTTTCAGTCACTTTGTTAAATAACTGAATATTTAGGCGTTGAATAAATTTGAAAATGTTACACATTTTGACAGTAAAAAATATACACACTATCAAAAAGCAATGCTCAGGTGAAATATTTACTTTGTGTTGCAAGTCAAAATAGTGTAAACGAAAATCGCAAAATTATCAAGCAAGTGACTTCGTCACCATTACCGATGCTAACCACAAAGATACCTACATTTCCTTATTATCTCCCAAACTGTATTTCATTTTGTTGATTAATGTGACCATACGCCCTCTATATTACTACCCATACAAGTGACTCATGCGCTTACGAATGGCGCAGCAGAGGTCGCGAACTAGTCTAGATTTCTGCTTTACATCCGGGTACTCACTGGGAAAAAACAATAACAAAGGCAACAACCAGTCCCGGGGAATTGCGTTAGATCAGTGCCCCTTTAATATTCTTGTCTGTTCTTCTTCGCTCAGAGAATCAAGGACGAGATCTCGTTTTTCTCACGTGACTTTGAAAGGCTTGTGACCGCCGGAAGCCAGGGATAATCACATTTAGACCTTATTTCAGTTTACTCATAAAATTACAATTTCATTGCGCGTGCTCTGCACGCTTATAAAATTCCCAATTCTATTTCACATTTTAAACAAGTATTTGTTTACGTAACCAAGCTCAGGTAGACGGCTCATATTTTGTCCTAAATGTAGGAAAAAATCTGAAACATGGACACCTCAGAAATAAAGGCTTTTAAAGTTATAATTCTATCTAACTTGTCAGATGGTTTGACGTTGGTCCATCCATGAAAAATCCTCATGAAATTTAAAAATTAATAATCTATGACACTGAAAATTTCAAGCACTGGACCTAAGATTATTCAAGGAAGGACAAATGTTGGTTTTTTTTAATTGCAAATGCTTTTGTTTTTGGCATTTCTTGTTTCATGATGGCAAAGACACTTTTATACACACAAACTGAGGAACTTGTGACACACCAGCTGATGAAGTTTGATAGGCCATAATAATAACAACAGAATAAGGTAGGATATTTCCATGTACTTTTCTCCGACAGAACAGAACTGTAAGAATTGTCAATGTACGTATATATGCCCTATTCCTTTTTCAAAAGATAACATTCTCTTATAAATATATATATGGCTAACTCGCCAGCTTAAGTGCCACCCTGGTTCTTGTGATTAAACAAACAAAAATATCATGTTCTGTTACAAGAAATTAATGTATCGTATTCACATTACAATTATATTTAAGAATTAGTTTTTTGGAAACAAACAACTTCCTACACAAGATTAATGTCCATATGAGTTGTGTATACATAGGTTCATAATCTATTTCTTTATTTTTTATGGAATACTAAACTTAAATAATGACATCATATAGTTACTTATTCACAAAATGTATGTTCAAGTGAAAGATAACAATTGTTGAATAAAATATGTTTAAACTAAAGATAATAATTAAAGTCTGACCTGTTGACCAATATTTAGTGTCCATACACATAATCATTGTGGAAAAAATAAGTATTAAATATAACTTAATATTTTAGAAGCTGTGAACAGATGTAAATAATTAAACATTAACAAATCTATCATCAATACGCAATCATGGCGGTCTCTATATTGATGGAATAAAATGAATAAAAAAAGATGATCCGTGAATTGTTGTAAAATCATGCTAGAATTGATAAATATATTATAAAAGGAACAATTCTTTAACTATCCCACATTTAATTAGAAACTAACACTGAAAATATGTAAATGGTATTTTATCGATATATACATCAAGCACCTACGTATATCCTGTCATATTCGGCATCGCATGAATGCTATTTTGAAACACGTTTTGTCACGCCTATTTTCGCGCACCTGTTGTAGGGTCTGATCGTTGCCGATCGACGATTTCTACAGACATAATTATTGTAGTGAAAACAAAATCATTAGAATGTACATCGCAGATACATGAATCATATCACTTTATATTCAACGTAACATGGAATGGTGATCTGTATATATCAACAAAAGTTCAAATAAAAGATACCGAGAAACTTGCATGTGGCGTGTTGATTCATCTTCTCCCGTTTCCGGGTCACGGGAGCATGCAAGGTCAAACGGATTAAAAAATACGCCAATTATATCGTGAAAATCACTTTGTAGTTTCACATTAGAGGTGAGTACTGATAATATGTAGTGATTTGTGTTTATTCTGTATAATACAGGCGAAATATTTCAAAATTGAAAGTAATTGTTTTGTTCCGAAAGATTATCAGCAGACTACCCCTGTCTGAGACATCACATCCGGTGACCTTTGCACAAACTGAAATATTGCTGTCAGAATTTATGATCTTTATTTTCGTTTTTCTCTCGTCATATTAAACGGAAAATGACAAATGCAACAAACTTCGATGGAGAAGATCGTCAACTTTCGCCAAGGCATATACCTGAACACAGTGTAAACTTGTTGATATTAAAATAGCAATAAGTTATGCCGAGGTCGGACGAAGCGCGCCATGTTTGATGTTCGAACGTCTGCTAGCATCATGGACTTAGGTACTTATATTTTCGTATATCGTAAATATTCAACCAAAACACTTGAAATAACGATTGGTGAATGTTTATGAGTCATTTATTGTTTCTTGAAAGTTTTATAACGTGACATGTTAGATTAACCCGAATGTTCGTATTTCTGCACCTTACAAGATAACCTCGAAAATTTAGGGTTTTTTCTGTTTAACGTTTGGATAATAAATTTACTAAAATGGTTCATAATTTACTATCGCGCTGTTATTTACCAATAAAAAACATCGAATTTATACTCAGTTAAAATTAAGATATCGGAGATCTGATTATTGAAATCAATTTGCACAAATTTAACGATTTAAAAAGGTTCCATACATGACACGTAAACCACCTTCAATAACGTAGTTCAGGCAAGATCACGAAAATTTCCAAATTTTGTGTTCGTTTTGGTCTTAACCTTGGTATGATTGAAAACATCAGGATTTTTTTACATAGTAATGTGTATGTTTCTATCAGGAATAAATGTGCAAAATATTCCTTCAATTGGCCCTTGTATAATGAAGCACCAACTGTTTGAAATCACCCACCCTCTTTACAGCGCCTTATGCTAAAATTAATCCATCAGGCAGGGCTAAGATGTGTGAAAACGATTCAGCAGGCTAAAGGTTAAAGCTCAGCGTATTTTAGAGAGACCTTTATTCACACGTAGTTTACTGAATCAGGAAGACCAGGTCCATCCGTCATTCAAATATAATAAATAAACAGAACATATTTAATAAAATATCTAGTTCTTAACCAGTGAAGAAGGTTTTTCCAATTTACAATATAGATATGCAAACAAGAACGGCTCCAATGTAAAAAAGCCTCTTTAACACTGA